GAGAATGACCTACATGATGCCACATGGGAATAGGGTTTGTCTACCTGTGATGAGCTACATGATATTGCAAGGTACAAGGTTGTCTCACCTGAGTGAGAATGACCTACATGATGCCACATGGGAATAGGGTTTGTCTACCTGTGATGAGCTACATGATATTGCAAGGTACAAGGTTGTCTCACCTGAGTGAGAACGACCTACATGATGCCACATGGGAATAGGGTTTTACATGATGTTACTGCAAGGTACAAGGTTGTCTCACCTGAGTGAGAATGACCTACATGATGCCACATGGGAATAGGGTTTGTCTACCTGTGATGAGCTACATGATATTGCAAAGGTACAAGGTTGTCTCACCTGAGTGAGAATGACCTACATGATGCCACATGGGAATAGGGTTTGTCTACCTGTGATGAGCTACATGATATTGCAAGGTACAAGGTTGTCTCACCTGAGTGAGAATGACCTACATGATGCCACATGGGAATAGGGTTTGTCTACCTGTGATGAGCTACATGATATTGCAAGGTACAAGGTTGTCTCACCTGAGTGAGAATGACCTACATGATGCCACATGGGAATAGGGTTTGTCTACCTGTGATGAGCTACATGATATTGCAAGGTACAAGGTTGTCTCACCTGAGTGAGAATGGCCTACATGATGCCACATGGGAATAGGGTTTTGTCTACCTGTGATGAGCTACATGATATTGTAAGGTACAAGGTTGTCTCACCTGAGTGAGAATGACCTACATGATGCCACATGGGAATAGGGTTTGTCTACCTGTGATGAGCTACATGATATTGCAAGGTACAAGGTTGTCTCACCTGAGTGAGAATGACCTACATGATGCCACATGGGAATAGGGTTTGTCTACCTGTGATGAGCTACATGATATTGCAAGGTACAAGGTTGTCTCACCTGAGTGAGAATGACCTACATGATGCCACATGGGAATAGGGTTTGTCTACCTGTGATGAGCTACATGATATTGCAAGGTACAAGGTTGTCTCACCTGAGTGAGAATGGCCTACATGATGCCACATGGGAATAGGGTTTGTCTACCTGTGATGAGCTACATGATATTGCAAGGTACAAGGTTGTCTCACCTGAGTGAGAATGACCTACATGATGCCACATGGGAATAGGGTTTGTCTACCTGTGATGAGCTACATGATATTGCAAGGTACAAGGTTGTCTCACCTGAGTGAGAATGACCTACATGATGCCACATGGGAATAGGGTTTGTCTACCTGTGATGAGCTACATGATATTGCAAGGTACAAGGTTGTCTCACCTGAGTGAGAATGACCTACATGATGCCACATGGGAATAGGGTTTGTCTACCTGTGATGAGCTACATGATATTGCAAGGTACAAGGTTGTCTCACCTGAGTGAGAATGACCTACATGATGCCACATGGGAATAGGGTTTGTCTACCTGTGATGAGCTACATGATATTGCAAGGTACAAGGTTGTCTCACCTGAGTGAGAATGGCCTACATGATGCCACATGGGAATAGGTTTTGTCTACCTGTGATGAGCTACATGATATTGCAAGGTACAAGGTTGTCTCACCTGAGTGAGAATGACCTACATGATGCCACATGGGAATAGGGTTTGTCTACCTGTGATGAGCTACATGATATTGCAAGGTACAAGGTTGTCTCACCTGAGTGAGAATGACCTACATGATGCCACATGGGAATAGGGTTTGTCTACCTGTGATGAGCTACATGATATTGCAAGGTACAAGGTTGTCTCACCTGAGTGAGAATGGCCTACATGATGCCACATGGGAATAGGTTTTGTCTACCTGTGATGAGCTACATGATATTGCAAGGTACAAGGTTGTCTCACCTGAGTGAGAATGACCTACATGATGCCACATGGGAATAGGTTTTGTCTACCTGTGATGAGCTACATGATATTGCAAGGTACAAGGTTGTCTCACCTGAGTGAGAATGACCTACATGATGCCACATGGGAATAGGGTTTGTCTACCTGTGATGAGCTACATGATATTGCAAGGTACAAGGTTGTCTCACCTGAGTGAGAATGACCTACATGATGCCACATGGGAATAGGTTTTGTCTACCTGTGATGAGCTACATGATATTGCAAGGTACAAGGTTGTCTCACCTGAGTGAGAATGACCTACATGATGCCACATGGGAATAGGGTTTTGTCTACCTGTGATGAGCTACATGATATTGCAAGGTACAAGGTTGTCTCACCTGAGTGAGAATGACCTACATGATGCCACATGGGAATAGGGTTTTGTCTACCTGTGATGAGCTACATGATATTGCAAGGTACAAGGTTGTCTCACCTGAGTGAGAATGACCTACATGATGCCACATGGGAATAGGGTTTGTCTACCTGTGATGAGCTACATGATATTGCAAGGTACAAGGTTGTCTCACCTGAGTGAGAATGACCCTACATGATGCCACATGGGAATAGGGTTTGTCTACCTGTGATGAGCTACATGATATTGCAAGGTACAAGGTTGTCTCACCTGAGTGAGAATGACCTACATGATGCCACATGGGAATAGGGTTTGTCTACCTGTGATGAGCTACATGATATTGCAAGGTACAAGGTTGTCTCACCTGAGTGAGAATGACCTACATGATGCCACATGGGAATAGGGTTTGTCTACCTGTGATGAGCTACATGATATTGCAAGGTACAAGGTTGTCTCACCTGAGTGAGAATGACCTACATGATGCCACATGGGAATAGGGTTTTGTCTACCTGTGATGAGCTACATGATATTGCAAGGTACAAGGTTGTCTTACCTGAGTGAGAATGACCTACATGATGCCACATGGGAATAGGGTTTGTCTACCTGTGATGAGCTACATGATATTGCAAGGTACAAGGTTGTCTCACCTGAGTGAGAATGACCTACATGATGCCACATGGGAATAGGTTTTGTCTACCTGTGATGAGCTACATGATATTGCAAGGTACAAGGTTGTCTCACCTGAGTGAGAATGACCTACATGATGCCACATGGGAATAGGGTTTGTCTACCTGTGATGAGCTACATGATATTGCAAGGTACAAGGTTGTCTCACCTGAGTGAGAATGACCTACATGATGCCACATGGGAATAGGGTTTGTCTACCTGTGATGAGCTACATGATATTGCAAGGTACAAGGTTGTCTCACCTGAGTGAGAATGGCCTACATGATGCCACATGGGAATAGGGTTTGTCTACCTGTGATGAGCTACATGATATTGCAAGGTACAAGGTTGTCTCACCTGAGTGAGAATGACCTACATGATGCCACATGGGAATAGGGTTTGTCTACCTGTGATGAGCTACATGATATTGCAAGGTACAAGGTTGTCTCACCTGAGTGAGAATGACCTACATGATGCCACATGGGAATAGGGTTTGTCTACCTGTGATGAGCTACATGATATTGCAAGGTACAAGGTTGTCTTACCTGAGTGAGAATGACCTACATGATGCCACATGAGAATAGGGTTTGTCTACCTGTGATGAGCTACATGATATTGCAAGGTACAAGGTTGTCTCACCTGAGTGAGAATGACCTACATGATGCCACATGGGAATAGGGTTTGTCTACCTGTGATGAGCTACATGATATTGCAAGGTACAAGGTTGTCTCACCTGAGTGAGAATGGCCTACATGATGCCACATGGGAATAGGTTTTGTCTACCTGTGATGAGCTACATGATATTGCAAGGTACAAGGTTGTCTCACCTGAGTGAGAATGACCTACATGATGCCACATGGGAATAGGGTTTGTCTACCTGTGATGAGCTACATGATATTGCAAGGTACAAGGTTGTCTCACCTGAGTGAGAATGGCCTACATGATGCCACATGGGAATAGGGTTTGTCTACCTGTGATGAGCTACATGATATTGCAAGGTACAAGGTTGTCTCACCTGAGTGAGAATGGCCTACATTTTGCCACATGGGAATAGGGTTTGTCTACCTGTGATGAGCTACATGATATTGCAAGGTACAAGGTTGTCTCACCTGAGTGAGAATGACCTACATGATGCCACATGGGAATAGGGTTTGTCTACCTGTGATGAGCTACATGATATTGCAAGGTACAAGGTTGTCTTACCTGAGTGAGAATGACCTACATGATGCCACATGGGAATAGGGTTTGTCTACCTGTGATGAGCTACATGATATTGCAAGGTACAAGGTTGTCTCACCTGAGTGAGAATGACCTACATGATGCCACATGGGAATAGGGTTTGTCTACCTGTGATGAGCTACATGATATTGCAAGGTACAAGGTTGTCTCACCTGAGTGAGAATGGCCTACATGATGCCACATGGGAATAGGGTTTGTCTACCTGTGATGAGCTACATGATATTGCAAGGTACAAGGTTGTCTCACCTGAGTGAGAATGACCTACATGATGCCACATGGGAATAGGTTTTGTCTACCTGTGATGAGCTACATGATATTGCAAGGTACAAGGTTGTCTCACCTGAGTGAGAATGACCTACATGATGCCACATGGGAATAGGGTTTGTCTACCTGTGATGAGCTACATGATATTGCAAGGTACAAGGCTGTCTCTTACCTGAGTGAGAATGACCTACATGATGCCACATGAGAATAGGGTTTGTCTACCTGTGATGAGCTACATGATATTGCAAGGTACAAGGTTGTCTCACCTGAGTGAGGAATGGCCTACATGATGCCACATGGGAATAGGGTTTGTCTACCTGTGATGAGCTACATGATATTGCAAGGTACAAGGTTGTCTCACCTGAGTGAGAATGGCCTACATGATGCCACATGGGAATAGGTTTTGTCTACCTGTGATGAGCTACATGATATTGCAAGGTACAAGGTTGTCTCACCTGAGTGAGAATGACCTACATGATGCCACATGGGAATAGGGTTTGTCTACCTGTGATGAGCTACATGATATTGCAAGGTACAAGGTTGAGCTCAATTATGTCAAGATGAATCTAGCAACTGACCTTGAATTTGATGAGCATGATAAGTTGAGACCTAAGGATCATGCCCTCGAAAGTCCCAAATGATTCGTACATCAAGCCTCTTCGCTGTAACAGAAACATGAGTTACTTAAGTGGCAAATCATTGCTAGAAATGTCTCACCTGGTCTGTCATGATCTGCTGGTATGTAATGAAGTATAGATGGCTAATTCCCGTCTGTATCAGCGATGTTGACGTGATGTGTCACCAGTGTTTGAGCTAACATCCGACACTGTGTGTTAACCTAACAAATGGCTGAGGGGACCACAGAAATGTTCTACTTATTTCATTTTTATACCGACACAATTTTCTTTACATGTTTAAACACAGTTAGGGTGGAAGAAACGTAACCCAGCATGCACCAGAGTGTGTAGATATAGCATTTCCCATCAAACAAACAACTTTCCTGTGTCAAATGACTGTGGTGACCACACAACTGTTCCATCTTTCACCAGCACAGTTAACTTAGATCTGTCACGCAGTCGGGACACAACAAACGTATCTGCTTATTGGTTGTTTCTAGTAATCTGTTTCCCACTTCACAAAGCTCCACTGGACAGAAACAACAACAGGTCATCTTTAACACATGACCTCATCATCAATGCTGTCAACTTGTGACAGAAATTACATATCATGAACTAATGGCAGTAACTACAGGGAATAGGATAGGATTTGAAGATAGAAGCCACAATAAAGATGAATAGATCGTTTTATCAGGTGATATAGATATTTTACACATAAATAGCGGACAAGTGACAATTCATTTTGATGCCCAGAACATACTGCTGCTCCAGAATGAGGGGACAGCTGAGCTACAATGTTCAGTGACTTACTATACATCGGTCAGGACTGTAGTCATCCACCACAGGGTAGCCATTGTGAGTCTCCTTCTTCAGCAGATCCATTATACGTCCCACCGACTCAACCGACCTGAACACCGTCACTGGATGACTCATCACCTCACTGGCACAGAGAACACATCAATACACAGACATCATAGGACACATCGCATTGGTACATAGACACCTTTGATCAGAACACATCGATACACCGACATCATAAGACACATCTCACAGGTACATAGAAACCTTTGATTAACACATCGATACGCAGACATCATATGACCCATCGCATTGGTACATAGACACCTTTGATCAGAACACATCGATACACAGACATCATAGGACACATCTCACAGGTACATAGAAACCTTTGATAAAAACACATCGATACGCAGACATCATATGACCCATCGCATTGGTACATAGACACCTTTGATCAGAACACATCGATACGCAGACATCATATGACCCATCGCATTGGTACATAGACAATTTTAATCAGAACACATAGATACGCAGACATCATATGACCCATCGCATTGGTACATGGACACCTTTGATCAGAACACATCAATACACAGACATCATCGGACACATCTCACATGTACATAGAAACCTTTGACCATAACACATTGATACACAGACATCATACGACACATCACATTGGTACAAAGACACCTTTGATCAGAACACATCGATACACAGACATCACAGGACACATCGATACACAGACATCACAGGACACATCAATACACACACATCACAGGACACATCCATACACAGACATCACAGGACACATCCATACACAGACATCACAGGACACATCATACATCAGACACATACACAGACATCACAGGACACATCACACATCCATTACACACACATCACAGCACACATCCATACACAGACATCACAGTACACATCCATACACAGACATCACAGGACACATCAATACACAGACACCACAGGACACATCGATACACAGACATCACAGGACACATCGATACACAGACATACAGACATCACAGGACACAGACATCAAGAGACATCCACACATCCATACAGACATCACAGGACACATCCATACACAGACATCACAGGACACATCCATACACAGACATCACAGGACACATCCATACACAGACATCACAGGACACATCCATACACAGACATCACAGGACACATCCATACACAGACATCACAGGACACATCCATACACAGACATCACAGAACACATACACAGACATCAGACATCACAGACATCAGACACAGCAGACATACAGAGACATCACAGGACACATCGACACAGAGACATCACAGAACACATAGCACAATTACATAGACACATTTGATCAGAACACATCGATACACAAACATCACAGGACACATAGCACTATTACATAGACACCTTTGATCAGAACACATCGATACACAGACATCACAGGACACATAGCACTATTACATAGACACCTTTGATCAGAACACATCGATACACAGACATCACAGGACACATCCGAACACATCATACACAGACATCACAGGACACATCCATACACAGACATCACAGGACACATTGATCGACACAGAGACATCACAGGACATACACAGGACAAATCGACACAGAGACATCACAGGACACATCGACACAGAGACTTCACAGGACACATCGACACAGAGACATCACAGAACACATAGCACTATTACATAGACAAATTTGATCAGAACACATCGATACACAGACATCACAGGACACATAGCACTATTACATAGACACCTTTGATCAGAACACATCGATACACAGACATCACAGGACACATCTATTACACAGACATCTTTGATCAGAACACATCGATACACAGACATCACAGGACACATCGATACACAGACATCACAGGACACATAGCACTATTAAACAGACATCTTTGATCAGAACACATCGATACATAGACATCATAAGGAATATCACCTCGGTCTATTGACACCTTCGAACATATTGAAACACAGACACCTACAAACACATCATTGACCTAATAATTCATCATCTCACTAACAGTTGTATACAGTTAGCCTTAAACTGTACATCTGTACTATACAAAGTTCCAATAAATGGCTCTTCGTCACAAGGTGAATAAATGTGTTACAGGTAACAGAAACTGATCAGTAACAGAAATCATTCTTTTACTTCTTGTTACAGATGATTGTGATACAACTAGTTGTGGATGAAAAACGTCTTCTTACAGACGTTATATGACAAGCTAAAGATGTGATACCATGCCTAGTTAGTAGTTACAGGTGTGCTATGACTTGTTACAGATGTTATATTACAAGCTAAAGATGTGATGCCATGCCTAGTTAGTAGTTACAGGTGTGCTATGACTTGTTACAGATGTTATATGACAAGCTAAAGATGTGATGCCATGCCTAGTTAGTAGTTACAGGTGTGCTATGACTTGTTACAGATGTTATATGACAAGCTAAAGATGTGATACCATGCCTAGTTAGTAGTTACAGGTGTGCTATGAATTGTTACAGATGTTATATGACAAGCTAAAGATGTGATACCATGCCTAGTTAGTAGTTACAGGTGTGCTATGACTTGTTACAGATGTTATATGACAAGTTATATGACAAAGATGTGATACCATGCCTAGTTAGTAGTTACAGGTGTGCTATGACTTGTTACAGATGTTATATGACAAGCTAAAGATGTGATACCATGCCTAGTTAGTAGTTACAGGTGTGCTATGACTTGTTACAGATGTCAGATGACAAGCTAAAGATGTGATACCATGCCTAGTTAGTAGTTACAGGTGTGCTATGACCTGTTACAGATGTGATAAAATGACTCATTACCAATGTTATACAATTACCCATACAGATGTAATACAAAGTTAACAAATTGAATGGCACATGAGGCCAAAGAAGAATCATCTTCACTAATATTTCGAATACGAACACAGATTCTATGCAATGTGATGATTATCTTACGTGGCGAAGATGTTGGCGCTCATGTCTGGCGGCTCCCAGCCCAGGATGGGGACCCCCTGCAGGTGCACATGCATGTCGTAGATCCCCTGGAACAGAAGGTCACACATGACGCACGCCTACCTGTTCTAAGGTATGATTAGTCTCTGTTGTATGTTTGGTATCACAACACCTGTCCTGAAGTATGGTTAGTGTTGAACACCTGTCCTGAAGTATGGTTAGTGTTGAACACCTGTCCTGAAGTATGGTTAGTGTTGAACACCTGTCCTGAAGTATGGTTAGTGTTGAACACCTGTCCTGAAGTATGGTTAGTGTTGAACACCTGTCCTGAAGTATGGTTAGTGTTGAACACCTGTCCTGAAGTATGGTTAGTGTTGAACACCTGTCCTGAAGTATGGTTGAACACAGTGTTAAGTGCTGAACACCTGTCCTGAAGTATTTAGTGTTGAACACCTGTCCTGAAGTATGGTTAGTGTTGAACACCTGTCCCTGTCCTGACAAGTATGGTTAGTGTTTGAACACCTGTCCTGAAGATGGTTAGTGCTGAACACCTGTCCTGAAGTATGGTTAGTGTTGAACACCTGTCCTGAAGTATGGTTAGTGTTGAACACCTGTCCTGAAGTATGGTTAGTGTTGAACACCTGTCCTGAAGTATGGTTAGTGTTGACCTGTCCACCTGTCCTGAAGTTTGTGTCATGACACCAGGTGTTTGGTATTGAACACCTGTCCTGAAGTATGGTTAGTGTTGAACACCTGTCCTGAAGTATGGTTAGTGTTGAACACCTGTCCTGAAGTTATGGTTAAGTGAAGTATGTTTGAACACCTGTCCTGAAGTATGGTTAGTGCTGAACACCTGTCCTGAAGTATGGTTAGTGTTGAACACCTGTCCTGAAGTTATGTTGACAGTCCTGAACACCTGTCCTGAAGTATGGTTAGTGTTGAACACCTGTCCTGAAGTATGGTTAGTGTTGAACACCTGTCCTGAAGTATGGTTAGTGTTGAACACCTGTCCTGAAGTATGGTTAGTGCTGAACACCTGTCCTGAAGTATGGTTAGTGTTGAACACCTGTCCTGAAGTATGGTTAGTGTTGAACACCTGTCCTGAAGTATGGTTAGTGTTGAACACCTGTCCTGAAGTATGGTTAGTGTTGAACACCTGTCCTGAAGTATGGTTAGTGAACACCTGTCCTGAAGTATGGTTAGTGTTGAACACCTGTTCCTGAAGTATGGTTAGTGTTGAACACCTGTCCTGAAGTATGGTTAGTGTTGAACACCTGTCCTGAAGTATGGTTAGTGTTGAACACCTGTCCTGAAGTATGGTTAGTGTTGAACACCTGTTCTGAAGTATGGTTAGTGTTGAACACCTGTTCTGAAGTATGGTTCGTGTTGAACACCTGTCCTGAAGTATGGTTAGTGTTGAACACCTGTTCTGAAGTATGGTTAGTGTTGAACACCTGTCCTGAAGTATGGTTAGTGTTGAACACCTGTCCTGAAGTTTGTGTCATGACACCAGTCCTGTTGTATGTTTCGTATCACAACACCTGTCCTGAAGTATGGTTAGTGTTGAACACCTGTTCTGAAGTATGGTTAGTGTTGAACACCTGTCCTGAAGTATGGTTAGTGTTGAACACCTGTTCTGAAGTTTGTGTCATGACACCAGTCCTGTTGTAATTTTAGTGTCACAATATCTGTTCTGCAGCGTGTTTTGTATCACTACACCTGTTCTGTAGTACATCCAGTGTCACTACACCAGTCCTGTTGTATTCTTAGTGTCACTACACCTGTTCTGTAGTACATCCAGTGTCACTACACCAGTCCAGTGGGTGAAATGCTTCATGGTGTTTGTTGACTCCAGCAGCATCCCAGCTACATCAATGGAATTGTAAAAGTATGCTTGCTTAGAAACACAACCTTTGAAAGTCTACTCTGATCATTCAATATTTAGTGTGTAAAGACGTACCTCGTTGAAGAAGTCACCAACCCATTTGGCCACCATCAACACAATCATGATGGGAAGACCAAACGTCACGTTGCTAGTTGCCTCCATCACAATGACAGTCAGGCTGATTGTCATCCGGACAATACCACCTGCACGAGAAACACATGCTTGAAACACATGACAGTGGAGACTGATTGTCATCCGGACAATACCACCTGCACGAGAAACACATGCTTGAAACAATCACAGACAGTGGTAGCGGTCAGACTGATAGTCATCCGGACAATATCACCTGTACAAGAAACACATGCTTGTAACAATCACAGACAGTGGTATTGGAAGAAACATTTACTCTCATCACAGATACAGCAATGTAAGGGAACAGTCTCAGTTTAAGCATTTCTCCTATTTCTCACTATTAATGAAATACCATCATGGCAAGTTGTATAACAGGTTAGTTACATCCTAGTTATATAGTCAGCTTGTGTTCCTCTCACATGAAGGAATCTCCATCACCTTTCCAAGTGCTGTGTAAAAACCATAATTAAACTTTTTCCTAGCCTGAATATCTAGTAAACACTCCAACATCTGCGTCTCCCGATATGTTGCCTATGACATTTATACCCCAGCCATCTGCCACACAGACTCACCCAGTTGAGCAGCTGCTCCGATCAGAGCATACTTGCCCGGGTCTGCCCAGTCCTGGAAAACAACACAGGAGACATCAAGCATTACTTCCACACTAATCAGAGTAATCATAACTTCATTTTGTACAGTTGGGGGAGCACATGTTGCCCAGTTGTTTGAATTCTCTATGAAGAGTAGTTTCCCTTAGGCATGAGTGAAACCCCATACATGTATTATGGGTTTCTGGGTTCATTACCACCATACCTGAGTTTCCTAATTTAACAAAAACAACGGATAAATTTCATGTCTCACATCAGGCTTGAGAAGCTGAGATGCTGTGACATAATACTGAGTAACCTCAACACCCTCACTCACTCATCCAAGGGTGAGAGTCACTTGTCCCTCCAGCTACAACACAACAAGGCTCACACTAGTCTCATTCCTCTCAACATCCAGCAACAACCCGACAAGGCTCACACTAGTCTCATTCCTCTCAACATCCAGCAACTACCTGACAAGGCTCACACTAGTCTAATTCCTCTCAACATCCAGCAACAACCCGACAAGGCTCACACTAGTCTCATTCCTCTCAACATCCAGCAACTACCCGACAAGGCTCACACTAGTCTCATTCCTCTCAACATCCAGCAACTACCTGACAAGGCTCACACTAGTCTCATTCCTCTCAACATCCAGCAACTACCTGACAAGGCTCACACTAGTCTCATTCCTCTCAACATCCAGCAACCACCCGACAAGGCTCACACTAGTCTCATTCCTCTCAACATCCAGCAACCACCAGACAAGGCTCACACTAGTCTAATTCCTCTCAACATCCAGCAACAACCCGACAAGGCTCACACTAGTCTCATTCCTCTCAACATCCAGCAACTACCCGACAAGGATCACACTAGTCTAATTCCTCTCAACATCCAGCAACCACCAGACAAGGATCACACTAGTCTAATTCCTCTCAACATCCAGCAACCACCAGACAAGGATCACACTAGTCTCATTCCTCTCAACATCCAGCAACTACCTGACAAGGCTCACACTAGTCTAATTCCTCTCAACATCCAGCAACTACCCGACAAGGCTCACACTAGTCTAATTCCTCTCAACATCCAGCAACAACCCGACAAGGCTCACACTAGTCTCATTCCTCTCAACATCCAGCAACTACCCGACAAGGCTCACACTAGTCTCATTCCTCTCAACATCCAGCAACCACCCAACAAGGCTCACACTAGTCTCCATTCCTCTCAACATCCAGCAACCACCCGACAAGGCTCACACTAGTCTAATTCCTCTCAACATCCAGCAACCACCCGACAAGGCTCACACTAGTCTCATTCCTCTCAACATCCAGCAACCACCCGACAAGGCTCACACTAGCCTAATTCCTCTCAACATCCAGCAACCACCCGACAAGGCTCACACTAGTCTCATTCCTCTCAACATCCAGCAACCACCCGACAAGGCTCACGATAGTCTCATTCCTCTCAACATCCAGCAACTACCCAAGGCAAGGCTCACACTAGTCTAATTCCTCTCAACATCCAGCAACCACCCGACAAGGCTCACACTAGTCTCTCATTCCTCTCAACATCCAGCAACCACCGACAAGGCTCACACTAGTCTAATTCCTCTCAACATCCAGCAACCACCCGACAAGGCTCACACTAGTCTAATTCTCTCAACATCCAGCAACCACCTCGACAAGGCTCACACTAGTCTCATTCCTCTCAACATCCAGCAACCAACCCGACAAGGCTCACACTAGTCTCATTCCTCTCAACATCCAGCAACTACCCGACACAAGGCTCACACTAGTCTCTATTCCTCTCAACATCCAGCAACCACCCGACAAGGCTCACACTAGTCTAATTCCTCTCAACATCCAGCAACAACCCGACAAGGCTCACACTAGTCTCATTCCTCTCAACATCCAGCAACTACCCGACAAGGCACACACTAGTCTCATTCCTCTCAACATCCAGCAACTACCTGACAAGGCTCACACTAGTCTAATTCCTCTCAACATCCAGCAACCACCCGACAAGGCTCACACTAGTCTCATTCCTCTCAACATCCAGCAACAACCTGACAAGGCACACACTAGTCTAATTACTCTCGACATCCAGCAACTACCTGACAAGGCTCACACTGGTCTCATTCCTCTCAACATCCAGCAACTACCTGACAAGGCTCACACTAGTCTCATTCCTCTCAACATCCAGCAACCACCCGACAAGGCTTACACTAGTCTAATTCCTCTCAACATCCAGCAACCACCCGACAAGGCTTACACTAGTCTAATTCCTCTCAACATCCAGCAACCACCCGACAAGGCTTACACTAGTCTCATTCCTCTCAACATCCAGCAACAACCCAACAAGGCTCACACTAGTCTAATTCCTCTCAACATCCAGCAACCACCCGACAAGGCTTACACTAGTCTAATTCCTCTCAACATCCAGCAACTACCCGACAAGGCTCACACTAGTCTCATTCCTCTCAACATCCAGCAACAACCCGACAAGGCTTACACTAGTCTCATTCCTCTCAACATCCAGCAACAACCCGACAAGGCTTACACTAGTCTCATTCCTCTCAACATCCAGCAACAACCCGACAAGGCTCACACTAGTCTCATTCCTCTCAACATCCAGCAACCACCCGACAAGGCTCACACTAGTCTAATTCCTCTCAACATCCAGCAACTACCCGACAAGGCTCACACTAGTCTAATTCCTCTCAACATCCAGCAACTACCCGACAAGGCTCACACTAGTCTAATTCCTCTCAACATCCAGCAACAACCCGACAAGGCTCACACTAGTCTCATTCCTCTCAACATCCAGCAACTACCCGATAAGGCTCACACTAGTCTAATTCCTCTCAACATCCAGCAACCACCCGACAATGACGTTTGCACTGACCGCATGTGGGACCAGGTACTGTAGCACGATACCGAACATCCGACCCCAGGCTGCACCAATCAGAAGGCTGGGAATAAATAAACCACTGGGCACGCTCAGGCCATATGTCCAGCACGCCAAGAAGAAATAACCAAGGGTGTAGAATCCCAGTGTCGCCATGTTGTAGGATCCTGGGGGAACAGAGACACATGTAAGTAAAGGATTGATGGAAAGTGTGCTTCTGTTATATACTTCCATCATCATCAACAAGAACAACAAGAACAACAACAACAACAACAACAACAACAACAACAACAACAACAACAACAACAACAACAACAACAACAACAACAACAGCAACAGCAACAGCAGCAGCAGCAGGGAATGATCACACAATATAATCATGTGATTATATAATACAGTTGCACCTACTGACACCCTCATGGAAGGAGCACAATCACTCACAGACACCTCATGGAAGGAGAACAATTACTCACCGACACCTCATGGAAGGAGAACAATCACTCACCGACACCTCATGGAAGGAGAACAATCACTCACCGACACCTCATGGAAGGAGAACAATCACTCACTGACACCTCATGGAAGGAGAACAATCACTCACTGACACCTCATGGAAGGAGAACAATCACTCACTGACACCCTCATGGAAGGGAGAACAATCACTCACTGACACCTCATGGAAGGAGGAACAATCACTCACTGACACCTCATGGATGGAAGGAGAACAATCACTCACTGACACCTCATGGAAGGAGAACAATCACTCACTGACACCTCATGGAAGGAGAACAATCACTCACCGACACCTCATGGAAGGAGAACAATCACTCACCGACACCTCATGCAAGGAGAACAATCACTCACTGACACCTCATGGAAGGAGAACAATCACTCACTGACACCTCATGGAAGGAGAACAATCACTCACTGACACCTCATGGAAGGAGAACAATCACTCACTGACACCTCATGGAAGGAGAACAATCACTCACCTGACACCTCATGGAAGGAGGAACAACACTCACTGGAAGGAGAACCTCATGGAAGGAGGAACAATCACTCACCGACACACCTCATGGAAGGAGAACAATCACTCACTGACACCTCATGGAAGGAGAACAATCACTCACCGACACCTCATGGAAGGAGAACAATCACTCACCGACACCTCATGGAAGGAGAACAATCACTCACTGACACCTCATGGAAGGAGAACAATCACTCACTGACACCTCATGGAGAGGACAACAATCACTCACTGACACCTCATGCAAGGAGAACAATCACTCAATGACACCCTCATGGAAGGAGAACAATCACTCACCAACACCTCATGGAAGGAGAACAATCACTCACCGACACCTCATGGAAGGAGAACAATCACTCACCGACACCTCATGGAAGGAGAACAATCACTCACTGACACCTCATGGAAGGAGAACAATCACCACTGACACCTCATGGAAGGAGAACAATGACACCCTCATGGAAGGAGAACAATCACTCACTGACACCCTCATGGAAGGAGAACAATCACTCACCAACACCTCATGGAAGGAGAACAATCACTCACCACGACACCTCATGGAAGGAGAACAATCACTCACTGACACCTCATGGAAGGAGAACAATCACTCACTGACACCCTCATGGAAGGAGAACAATCACTCACCAACACCTCATGGAAGGAGAACAATCACTCACCGACACCTCATGGAAGGAGAACAATCACTCACCGACACCTCATGGAAGGAGAACAATCACTCACCGACACCTCATGGAAGGAGAACAATCACTCACTGACACCTCATGGAAGGAGAACAATCACTCACCTGACACCTCATGGAAGGAGAACAATCACTCACTGACACCCCCTCATGGAAGGAGAACAATCACTCACCAACACCTCATGGAAGGAGAACAATCACTCACCGACACCTCATGGAAGGAGAACAATCACTCACCGACACACCTCATGGAAGGAGAACAATCACTCACCGACACATCATGGAAGGAGAACAATCACTCACCATGACAATGGGAGAACAATCCAACACATGGAAGGAGAACAACACTTACTGACACCCTCATGGAAGGAGAACAATCACTCACCAACACCTCATGGAAGGAGAACAATCACTCACCAACACCTCATGGAAGGAGAACAATCACTCACCAACACCTCATGGAAGGAGAACAATCACTCACTGACACCCCTCACTGGAATCCCCTCATGAAGAACAATCACTCACCAACACCTCATGGAAGGAGAACAATCACTCACCGACATCCTCATGGAGGAAGAACAATCACTCACCGACATCCTCATGGAAGGAGAACAATCACTCACCGACATCCTCATGGAAGAGGTTCTTGACACTAGCTTCAGGTGTCTGGAAGAAGATGCTGGATGTTGAGCTGAAGTAGCCATCTTGGCAGAAAAACTGAAACAGACACAGGGTAGATACAGACATACAGAAACAGACACAGGGTAGATACAGACATAAAGAAACAGACACAGGGTAGATACAGACAGACTGAAACAGACACAGGGTAGATACAGACACGTGGAAACAGACACAGGGTAGATACAGACATACAGAAACAGACATAGAGAAGACACAGAAAAACTGAAAGAGACACTTGATAAATTTATTTATTCTGTGAGAGCTGAAGATTGGACACGTGGAAGAGAGTGAGTGAGTTTAGTTTTACGCCGCTTTCAGCAACATTCTAGCAATATCACTGCAGGGGAACATGTGGAAGAGAGGAAGTGAAGGGTGAGTGGGTAGGTCAGGATGGTGTTGACACGAGTGTTGGTGACAGAGTACACGAGGGTGCTGACCAACCTGTATGGGAACTTCCTCCGAGTTGCCCTTCATGGGTTCGCAGTCATTGTTGAAGTAGATGGAAATATAGCCCACTAGGCCTGTCATGGCTGCCACAATCATCGCTTCCAACACCTGCTTCCACTTCTTCTGGATGAATCTACACAAGAGTGAGTGAGGGAGTTTAGCTTTACACCGCACTCAGCAATAATCCAGATATATGGCGGCGGTCTGTAAATAATCGAGTCTGGACCAGACAATCCACTGATCAACAGCATGAACATCGATCTGCACAATTTGGTACCAATGACATGTGTCAACCAAGCAAGCGAACCTGACCACCCGATCCCGTTAGTCGCCTCTTACGACAAGCATGGGTTACTGAAGGTTCATTCTAGCCCGGACCTTCACGGGTAAATCTACACAGGAAGTTCATTACTATCATACACTGCTGACAGTGCACACACTGAGAATAACATCATGAAATACACCCCATCACGCTCCCCTGTGGCAAGGGCTTAACAAATTGTTTGGGGGCGCAGTGGGCGAGGCGCCAGGCTAGTGTTCCAGCGAGGTTGAGGTGTCGGGATCAAGCCCACCTGTGACTGGGTGTAAAAACCTTGGAATCAACTTTGTGTGCAAACTGTGTTGTCACAACCCCTAGTGTACAGTACACAACCCTGTGCACTTAAAAGAACCCACGAATCCATTGGTATATGACCAGATGGTGGCCACATGAATACGTGCAAACACCTAGTTGCGGGTACAGCAATGTGCAGTAAACTTGGACTATGTGTCCCTGTCCACCCAGCTTTGAATGGGAACTCATTAGGATGAGAAAGCCACAATCACTCGGTGCGCCAAGAAACACAAGCTTGATGTTACTCAGCAATATGCTAGTCATACCGCAGTAGCCTGGTTGGATCTGAACCAGACGAACCAGTGATTGATATTATGAACAATGATCCACACACAGTCATGACACACTGGAGTCAGCGACACCTGTAACAACCAGTTTAGGTTGATGGGGACACAAGTATTTCCCAGAGATTACTTTGTTCAGTACCCAAGGGACACTGATCTTCTGAGAGTGTAATCTGCCACCGTTACTTTATTGAAGAAAAGAGATGAAATGTAACCATGGTAACAAGATTGTTGAGTTATGTTATGTCACGAAAGTTCACCTCATCCTGTAGACAGTCAGCTTGTAGTTGATCTGATTGAACAGAGCCCCTAACAACCCACCTGAAAGAAACAACATGGTCATTTATTTATAACAACTGTGCTCTAGATGATCTAAGACTGTGCTCGCCCTAAGACAAAACAGTTGCTTTGCCCCATGATTTGTTTCATATACTTTACAAACCAACTAAAGAACACCCATCTATAGTTAATCTCTCCCAAAAATCAGGTGTTATCTCTTAACTTCCTTTGAATACTGTCCTATATCTCAGTCAATTACTGTCCTCTTCCTGTATCTCTTATATAAACAATTACTGTCCTCTTCCTGTATCTCTTACATAAACAATTACTGTCCTCTTCCTTATTACTGTCCTCTTCCTGTATCTCTTACATAATCAATTACTGTCCTCTTTCCTGTATCTCTTACATAAACAATTACTGTCCTCTTCCTGTATCTCTTACTGTGTCTCTTAAACAATCAATTACTGTCCTCTTCCTGTATCTCTTACATAAACAATCAATTACTGTCCTCTTCCTGTATCTCTTACATACTGTCCTCTTCCTGTATCTCTTGCAATCAATTACTGTCCTCTTCCTGTATCTCTTACATAAACAATCAATTACTGTCCTCTTCCTGTATCTCTTACATAAACAATCAATTACTGTCCTCTTCCTGTATCTCTTACATAAACAATCAATTACTGTCCTCTTCCTGTATCTCTTACATAAACAATCAATTACTGTCCTCTTCCTGTATCTCTTACATAAACAATCAATTACTGTCCTCTTCCTGTATCTCTTACATAAACAATCAATTACTGTCCTCTTCCTGTATCAATTACTGTCCTCTTCCTGTATCTCTTACATAAACAATTACTGTCCTCTCCTGTATCTCCATGTATCTCTTACATAAACAATCAATTACTGTCCTCTTCCTGTATCTCTTACATAAACAATTACTGTCCTCTTCCTGTATCTCTTACATAAACAATCAATTACTGTCCTCTTCCTGTATCTCTTACATAAACAATCAATTACTGTCCTCTTCCTGTATCTCTTACATAAACAATTACTGTCCTCTTCCTGTATCTCTTACATAAACAATCAATTACTGTCCTCTTCCTGTATCTCTTATATAAACAATTACTGTCCTCTTCCTGTATCTCTTACATAAACAATCAATTACTGTCCTCTTCCTGTATCTCTTACATAAACAATCAATTACTGTCCTCTTCCTGTATCTCTTACATAAACAATCAATTACTGTCCTCTTCCTGTATCTCTTACATAAACAATTACTGTCCTCTTCCTGTATCTCTTACATAAACAATCAATTACTGTCCTCTTCCTGTATCTCTTACATAAACAATCAATTACTGTCCTCTTCCTGTATCTCTTACATAAACAATTACTGTCCTCTTCCTGTATCTCTTACATAAACAATCAATTACTGTCCTCTTCCTGTATCTCTTACATAAACAATTACTGTCCTCTTCCTGTATCTCTTTACATAAACTCTTCCTGTATCTCTTACATCAATTACTGTCCTCTTCCTGTATCTCTTACATAAACAATAAACAATTACTGTCCTCTTCCTGTACATAAACTAATTGCTGTCCTCTTCCTGTATCTCTTACATAAACAATTACTCTCTTACATAAACAATCAATTCAAGTGCAGATGCATCCAATCGAGCCATGTTGCCAGTCATCTCCTACTTTACAGCTTACAAGCCCAGAATGTAAGAGCAAAATCCAAAACAGAAATTGTGTCATCTGTAAACCCTCACCTAGAGTTCTTTGCAAGTTTTTTGAAGGACAAAGGTCTAAATTGAAAACTGTTCACATTTTTTGTCTGAAAATACAATGATCCACAACAGCTTGAGGAAATAACATTACAGAAACTGTAACCCATAAATGTCTTATTCATATTCCCAACATTATAAAATATACTTTGTTGAATTCCTGTAACATCTAACTAGCAAGAACATTGACTAAATGTACATTTAATCAGATAAGAAAATATTTAATGTGAAAACAGCCCAGGGAATTCCACTTACCAATAACTCCCATTATTAGAAATATAGGGATCTCGAAACCAGAATACTGAGTGTTCTGAAAACAAAGAAAATCGTTTCCTTATATGGTTAATGTCTATTGTGTGAGGTGAAGAGCTCAGTGAGTGGGCTTAACAAGACTTTGAATACAATACTAAAACAAGTACCAGATGACAGACCAAGAAACAAAATCAGGGCAAACTCCAAATGTCTACGAGGTATAACCGAACAGTGAACAACACCTGTATGTTTAAGTTGTGCCACAACAGGATATCAGCAACAGCAGTTTAACACCCAATGAAAGTGACACAGTCTGTATGCATTTAACTTAAGAATCTGACTGACATCCATCACCATGGAACTGCCCTGACAGAACAAGTGAGGTGAAATTGGGTTTAACGTCATGCTTGAGAATATTTCCCTCATATGACGACGTGCATGTGTGTGTATGTGTATTTGCGGCTGCTTGTACTAGCCCAGACTTAAGCTGGTTTTATAGTGCTAGCCCACTGAGATACCATGCTGCAGTGAAGCATGAATACCCCACTCAGACACATTATACTGACTCCGAGCCGACTAGTCCTTGTTGTACCCATTAACGTGGAGCGCCAGGCAGGGACCAACAAGTACCATATTTTAACGTCTTTTGGTATGATGCGGTCGGGGATCGAACCCGCGACCTTCCGCTGTCCGGGTGGACGCTCTAACCACTACACCACGGAGGACAGTACAAGTACCATAAGGGGTAAGGGGTACAAATCCTTGTAGCAAATTGTGAAACCTTACAGAGAGTGTAACATGTCAGATATAATATCAGCTACTGACACATGGGTCTTGATAACAACTAACATGGGGATGGTGACTAGACATGCATACCAAATACATCACAAACATTGGTCTGTGTCTCAGTTTTTCATTGGATTTGGTTGGTAACTTATAATACCTGTACTTACTAAGATATATATTCTGTGATAGATATATGGCAAACAAGTAAATCTGCTTACATCAAATTTTCCAAAGTTGATAAGACCAGGTGATGAAAGATCCCAAGCATGACCTTTGACATAGCTCTGTACAATGTTCAAGGTGAAGGTCGAGGTCATGGAAGCAAAAAACTGAAACAGGCATTCAAGAAAATTTTCAAGAATTTTGTTATTGGTTGTATTTGTCTAGTCTGTGGTTTATTTCTGTAAACCCATGAGACACAATTGTCATTTAAGAAAACAGTCAAAATGCAAAGATTATTTCCATAAAATCCATATTAATAATGACTGTACTACTAGTACATTTAGCTTACACACAAGATACAAGTGTATATACTATAATTTGATAACTTGATAGTTAGACCTGAACACAGATATTCCGAGCAGGTGAGGAAACTTACGATCCTCCAGGTGAGCCCCTGATTCCAGAAGCTGGCCCCCTCCTCCAAGGAGAACAACACCCCTCCCACAGGTGCTCCAAATGCTGCTGCCACGCCCGCGGCTGCCCCACCAGACACAAAGTCTCTCTTCTCTGTGTCCGTGCGGAAGTATTCAAATATCTGGTTCACCAAACATAAATATATGTGTAAAGATTCCCTAAAAGCCTGATGACTGCCACACACTGCTTTACTACAGCTGTGCAAGCAATGCATGACGCAGAAATTGAGATTGTTCTCTTTGTGAAAGTGAAAAAACAATAATTTTGATATGGACAGCAAAGAATGTCCATCATTGGACAGCAGAGAATGTCCATTACCATCAACACCTGGAGACACATTATGTGACAAGAAATCTTGACTGCACGAACCTACAACCAACATAAGAGCCAACAACTAACGTTGTATACAAGCGAGGCAGTTTCGAGCTGCTATTAACAATATTTCAGTTGTATTCCAGCATGTCAACTTGTAGTGGGAGAGAACCGTGCAGCAGGTCTGAGACGTTCACCACTTCAGTGAAACCCAAGGTTCTCACGGACCAGGAAACCTAATCAGTGTGAATTCAAAAGGGACACAACTCTGCACTACAGACGTATGACGGGTACATTACTGACCTGAACAAACCAGCCCTACCTTGAAGTCCAGGTTGAACGATGTCGAGCGCCCCTGGGACACCCCAGCTGCTATGACAGCCCCAGAATGGATCATCGGGCCTTCCTGCAGTCACAGAGTCTGTCAGTCTTTCATGTCATCAACATATACATCAGCCATATTGCCCAGTTAATGGACAGACATATTTAGGTTGTGACTGACCATGTTCAATGTAACTTGTGAGGCATCTCTCAGAAATCAATCCTCTTGTTGTAAAGAATATAAAGTAAGGGACCGTTCATAATTTATGGCTAGGAGGGATGATTATGATTTTTTAGGAAGAAGTCCAGAAACAAGTTTTTGGGGGTCCAGCAATTTTAACATAAATTTATTTTAAAATATGCTTTTAAAATATGGAAAGGGGGAGGGGGGTCATTGACTTTGTACATGACATGCGGGGGGCACTTACTTTGTACATAAATTTTAGGGTGCGTCATTCACATTGTACATGCTTCTCCATAAAAATCATCATCATCCCCCTAGCCATAAATTATGAACGGTCCCTAATGAGCGAGAAAGCTCCTGTTTACTACATAATAAATAGTTCAACTTGAAATTCTCAGAACTAGGGTAAATCTATTCAACAAACATATCAATATATAGAACCACCACTACCTTGGACTATTTATAATCTGGAAAACCCAAACTTTAGAAAGTTTACAGTTAGGATTATTATGATGAAATAGACACAGACAACCCCACCACCTTGTAGGTAAGAGCTGAACCCACCTCCCCTACAGCCAGACCACTTGCCACAGCACAGACCACCCTGTAGGCAAGAGCTGCCACACCACAGACAGACCTCCTGCCACAGCACAGACAACCCCGACCACCCTGTAGGCAAGAGCTGAACCCACCTACCATACAGCCAGACCTCCTGCCACAGCACAGACAACCCCGACCACCCTGTAGGCAAGAGCTGAACCCCCCTACAGTCAGACCACCTGCCAGGCAAGAGCTGAACCTCCCCGACCACCCTGTAGGCAAGAGCTGAACCCACCTTCCCTACAGCCAGACCTCCTGCCACAGCACAGACAACCCCGACCACCTTGCAGACCAGAGTTTTGAAGCGGACGACGTGAGGTATCTTGATGCCATTGAGGTAGCACTTGATCTGGGGGATGCCACTCCCAGCTGCCACCGGCTGCGTACATAACAGAAAATGCAGTCTCACCAGGACAAAACAACAAACTCAGTTGGACAATATAACAGTTTGGCTTGTCTCGTACATGTTACTATGTGTTGGGTTTCTTTTATGAATGAAAATACTCCAAGTGACAATATTCATGAACACAAACTTTAGGTGTTTATTGACAAACCTTGCTGACTGCTCTGACGTTAAACATGCATAGAAACTTTGTCTGTTTACTGACGTACCTCGCCAAACGCTGTGATGATGGCGCCAAACATGCAGATGCCGGCATTGAATGCGATCCACAGGAGGAAGGGTAAGTAGAGACAGTGGTTCTCAACACAGCTGTCCACATCTAAACATGGCTCAGGAAAACACAGCAACTAGCTCCAGTTGCATATCATAATACTAAGGTTATTATGTGATCCCTATCTAATACTTCAGGGAAGTGAAGTGATCCCTATCTAATTCTTCAGGGAGGTGATGGGATCCCTATCTAATACTTCAGGGAGGTGAAGTGATCCCTATCTAATACTTCAGGGAGGTGATGGGATCCCTATCTAATACTTCAGGGAGGTGAAGTGATCCCTATCTAATTCTTCAGGGAGGTGATGTGATCCCTATCTAATACTTCAGAGAGGTGAAGTGATCCCTATCTAATACTTCAGGGAGGTGATGTGATCCCTATCTAATACTTCAGGGAGGTGATGGGATCCCTATCTAATTCTTCAGGGAGGTGATGTGATCCCTATCTAATTCTTCAGGGAGGTGATGTGATCCCTATCTAATACTTCAGGGAGGTGATGTGATCCCTATCTAATACTTCAGGGAGGTGATGTGATCCCTATCTAATACTTCAGGGAGGTGGTGTGATCCCTATCTAATACTTCAGGGAGGTGAAGTGATCCCTATCTAAGGGGAGGTGATGTGATCCCTATCTAATTCAGGGAGGGAGGTGATGTGATCCCTATCTAATACTTCAGGGAGGTTGTGTGATCCCTATCTAATACTTCAGGGAGGTGATGTGATCCCTATCTAATACTTCAGGGAGGGAGGTGAGTGATGTGATCCCTATCTAATACTTCAAGGAGGTGATGTGATCCCTATCTAATACTTCAGGGAGGTGATGTGATCCCTATCTAATACTTCAGGGAGGTGAGTGTGATCCCTATCTAATACTTCAGGGAGGTGGTGTGATCCCTATCTAATACTTCAGGGAGGTGATGTGATCCCTATCTAATACTTCAGGGAGGTGATGTGATCCCTATCTAATACTTCAGGGAGGTGATGTGATCCCTATCTAATACTTCAGGGAGGTGAGGTGATCCCTATCTAATACTTCAGGGAGGTGATGTGATCCCTATCTAATACTTCAGGAGGTGATGTGATCCCTATCTAATACTTCAGGGAGGTCATGTGATCCCTATCTAATACTTCAGGGAGGTCATGTGATCCCTATCTAATACTTCAGGGAGGTGATGTGATTCCTATCTAATACTTCAGGGGAATGGTTGGGTTCCCATGTAGGTATAGTATGTGAAGGAAATGTGGGTTTGATTTGCATATAAGTTTTAATATTTTGTTGTATGTCTCCAGTGACAAGGATACACTTTTTGACATAGTTGTACTTTAGGGAGGAGCACTTCTCCACCATGACATCAATGAAGGCTGCCACCAGCCCTGTGAGCACTCCGATAACCAGCGACACAAACCAGCGCGCCACCTCCATCCGGATGATGCCCTACAACGGACAGACAGAGATGACACAACACCATTTAGAAAGTGGTCAAATGTAACACATGATGTATCTAGGATTACACTTTCTCTGTAAAGTATGCCATTAAATGCCTGACTCAGAGAGTGTGGGTTTGAATCCTGGATGGGACTCAAACTAACAAAAGTAGTAGAATCTGTACTTTACTGAGAAAGTGTAATCACGAATATAACATGTTACACAGACAGTATTATGTTGTCATCTTTGAAGACCATTCTACAATCCCTTCCACACACCCATTAAACAGAAAACAACCACATTCCTCTCCCTCCATACTGCTCAGGCTGCTCCCTAGCTATTGCTCCATTGTGGCATATGACAGAACCCGTACTCATCACAACTTAATATTTCCAATGCTATGGCAGTGATAAATCTACAAATTCAACTGCCCGAGTCCCGGGACTCACTGAGCTGAATAACTATGAGTCCCTCAGAACTTTTTATAAGTCCCTAACAAAAATTAATGCCACAAATATTATTCAAACTGGTTTATTGTTACTATAGGTTGCACGGGTGAGTCTGACCGGTCTGGGATATTCACAGAACAGAGCTGGTAGTACCTAAATCGTAACAAATGGAGACTCTTCCATTTTAACTTGTAGTTCATACCCTATCACATCAGACACAGATGTTATCAGATCACTGGCAGTGGTTGGAGAATCATAGCTGATTTTACCTTCCTTGAGAATTTCAATGTCTTCGTTTTCAAATTCATATAAAAAGTCAACAAAACGTTTAAAATTTGTCAGTGGGGTGTTTTCACAAGCTAACCAAGGAACAGATTTCATCAAGACGACAGCTGCTTTGTCTTGTTTTTCATACATACGTGCAGTTGCAACCTGGAAATCATCACAAAGTTTTGGAGCCTGAACGGACAGTTTATTATCATTTGGATGAGATGTCTGGTCAAAGTTGTATTTTAAACATTTCTGCATTTAGCATCTTGTGTCATACCATTTTCAGTACATAGTTCACAAAATATTAAATCACCTTCCCTGTCATAAGTCAGCCATAACCTGACTGAAATGTCCTAACTTTGTGTTTTCTGACAGTATCTATCTGGGCGGCATGTCGACTGCTATATTATAAAAATAACAGCAGGGCTCTACATGACCTTTGACAAATGTTTACTTTGATTAGGAAAATAAACAAGTTACTAGCCAGACCCATGTAATTTCACTGTAATATTTTGTGAATAAAGTTCTACAATTCCAACCAAAGTTTTGTTTTATTCTTCACTCTGTTCAGTGATTCAAAAACAAATTTTATCAAAAGAAATAAGCCAACTGGAAGCCACTTTAACAAGTATGAACACAAATAACTATTAACATTTAACAAATTATATCATAAATGTCATCACAATTATAAATGAAATGATTCATTTATATGATTACTTTTCCAGGACTTGACATTCAGAACCTTACACAACAGAATGACATTCTATTTCAGCTGAACTTTCATCCTGTCAAATGTCACTTTCACTTTCAATTACATGCAGATAGATTTGACAGTTGTTCAGCTACTGACTAAAGCTTCCTGCTTTTCTCTAACTGGTACTGAGAGCTCAGAGTTCGTCCTCACACTGTGGATTCAGAGTCACAATGTTCATTGACCAATCAGTTTGTCTTGAAAAACCTCATTTGTATATCGCTTAGTTTCCTTAGCGTGTTTGTGTCTATTTATAGAGTGTAAAAACTAGGTTAGTAGTTTTGCACATGCTCAAGCAATGAATCTTGGGATCCCATTTGCCTACCGCTTACCTCCCTTGGTGTGACCTAGATGTCTATTTTTGGAAACGAGGAAATGAACTTAATATCATGACGAATGAAAACTGCGATCGTTTTAAAAATAATGTGTACTTATTAGCTCACGTCAATTATTTGAGAATGGAAGTTAATCTACGAAGATTTAGCCATGTATACTTTGATATTGCTTCTCCACAAAAGTAGACATTAGTGTTTCATCAAAAGCTTGCAGCCAAAAGGACGCACATGTAAAAAAATATATGAGTCCTGTCAGAATTTATTGCGTCAGAGACGCGTGAAGCGGGGGTAGATTTATCCCTGCTATGGGAACAGGTTCCCTCCCCTATTTGTGACCCTCACCTTGGTAGTCTTCTGCTTCTCCTCGCGTTGGTACAGCACATTCTCACAGATGTCATAGTCCAGACTCTGCAGGAAACAGTTGAGTGAGTGAGTGAGAGGGCGGTCGAGCGAGCAAGCGAGTAACACATCTTAACAGTAACAGGAAACAGTTGAGTGAGTGAGTGAGAGGGCGGTCGAGCGAGCAAGCGAGTAACACATCTTAACAGTAACAGTTAGCATCCTGACCAGATGTCAGGAATCAAACTCAGGTGCTACCATTATTGCAGACATCTTTTTGATCCACAACACGTCAAAGAAGCGATATATTTTGAGATTTGCAACAAATAACTGGATAGTCCATCCACCAATGTGAAAGATTAATAGTTTACTTAAACCTTGCACCTTGGAAGTTGTGGCAATGGTATATTTTTGTAGGTTCTGATCCTGACCTGGTCTTAAGCAGGTAATTCGGTCGATATTACCATGGTTACTGGGGTATGTGCTTACCTCAAACCTGGCAGACAGTAGTTTCTCCGGAATGGGTTGCTCGTTGTCAATGGTGATCTCTCTCTCATCATTGTCTGTGCTGTTCTCCACATCCCGTGTGAGGCTTCCTTCATCCCCATGGACCCGCTTCACAGTCTACACCAAGTAATAACAGTAGTAATGTGTACAAGCCCTCAGTCTACACCAAGTAATAACAGTAGTAATGTGTACAAGCCCACAGTCTACACCAAGTAATAACAAGTAATAACAGTAGTAATGTGTACAAGCCCTCAGTCTACACCAAGTAATAACAGTAGTAATGTGTACAAGCCCTCAGTCTACACCAAGTAATAACAGTAGTAATGTGTACAAGCCCACAGTCTACACCAAGTAATAACAGTAGTAATGTGTACAAGCCCTCAGTCTACACCAAGTAATAACAGTAGTAATGTGTACAAGCCCTCAGTCTACACCAAGTAATAACAGTAGTAATGTGTACAAGCCCACAGTCTACACCAAGTAATAACAGTAGTAATGTGTACAAGCCCACAGTCTACACCAAGTAATAACAGTAGTAATGTGTACAAGCCCACAGTCTACACCAAGTAATAACAGTAGTAATGTGTACAAGCCCTCAGTCTACACCAAGTAATAACAGTAGTAATGGTAATAACAGTAGTAATGTGTACAAGCCCTCAGTCTACACCAAGTAATAACAGTAGTAATGTGTACAAGCCCTCAGTCTACACCAAGTAATAACAGTAGTAATGTGTACAAGCCCACAGTCTACACCAAGTAATAACAGTAGTAACACCAAGTAATAACAGTACAAGCCCTCAGTCTACACCAAGTAATAACAGTAGTAATGTGTACAACAGCCCACAGTAACAGTAGTAATGTGTACAAGTAATAACAGTAGTAATGTGTACAAGCCCACAGTCTACACCAAGTAATAACAGTAGTAATGTGTACAAGCCCTCAGTCTACACCAAGTAATAACAGTAGTAATGTGTACAAGCCCTCAGTCTACACCAAGTAATAACAGTAGTAATGTCTACAAGCCCTCAGTCTACACCAAGTAATAACAGTAGTAATGTGTACAAGCCCTCAGTCTACACCAAGTAATAACAGTAGTAATGTGTACAAGCCCACAGTCAGTCTACACCAAGTAATAACAGTAGTAACCAAGTAATAACAGTAGTAATGTGTACAAGCCCATTCTACACCAAGTAATAACAGTAGTAATGTCTACAAGCCCATTCTACACCAAGTAATAACAGTAGTAATGGGTACAAGTCATATGTTAAAATCAGTTCAGATTAATGAAAGTCCATGTCATATTACAGCATCCATGGCATCCAGGATTTGCTTCTATTCAAGATAGATCTTACATAAGTGATTTGATTAATTTCATCAATTAGATTTGAAGCATCCATGAACTCGAAGTGGATCTTATTTGCATCCATGCTTAATTTTGTATTGGTATAGGATGCCAAGCCCTCAATGCAAAAACATATGTTAAGTGTAACGTGGAAAAAAAAGTTGTAAAGTGCAAGTGCCATTACAGCCTAAACTATTTTGCTCTCAAGTGAAGGGGGTGGACAAGTTAAATCGAAACAACTCCAACATTTTGATCACATTCCATATCTATGATGACATTCAACAGATGCACATTCCAATGTCTGGATGTTACCATGCATGACAGTGACACATGGAACAGGTTGAATTGTTAAAGAAATGTTGTCTGCTAGAAGTTCAATCACAAATGAGAACAGAAATATATTACAATAAGAGCCTTCCTTATCAGTATCCTTCACATTGAAACATAACCCACAATGTCATGTTGTGATATTCTTTACTATCACGGTTTATCCTCACTGTGCAGGCAGCCTGCAGAGGATTAGTGTAGGCATGTTTGTGATTGCTTCAACTTTCATGTGATCTATCTTTAATCCATCCGAGGTTACAACATGTCCCAGATAAGGCACCTCGGTCAGTCTCAGTTTCAGTTTCAGTTTGGATCTGTTCAATTTGATATTTCTGTTCCTGCATCGATCAAGGAACTGGGACAACTTCTCATCATGATCAGCTTCAGCCACTTCATAAGTGTCTCCAACACCACAGATCAGAACATCATCATGTACAGCACGTACTCCATCCAAGCCACATATTGCCTCATTCAAACGGCGCGCTGAAACTCCTCAGGTGCTGGTGACAGCCCGAATGGCATTCGTAGCCAACAGTAACGGCCCCAAGGTGTTTCAAATGTTGTCAAGAAACTGCTTTCCTCCTCAAGCTGGATATGCCAAAATCCATTTTTAGCATCTGCTAAAGTAAAGCACTTAGCATTTGATAATTCCGGCAGAATGTCATCAATTGTCTTTATTGGATAATGATTCCTCTTGAGAGCTATTCAGGGTATCTTGTCAGTACCCTGTTTCTTGACCACAATAAGGGCAGAGATCCAGTCAGTAGGAACATTCACAGGGGTGATGATCTTCAGATCAGTCAGTCTTTCAAGTTCAGCCTTGAGTTTCTGTTGTAAGGAAAGTGGAACCTTACAACATGGTAGCTGGACTGGTGTCACAGTCTCATCTACTTCAAAACGCAACAAATCATCAAGTGAACCCTCTCCCTCAAATACATCCTTGTAACGATGGATTATGTCCGTCAGGTCCAATCTTGCTAACTCTGTAGAAAAATCTCTACTACCGGAGACCTGGAAAATGTTCTCAAAGTTCACAGTTATTAGCTGCATTTGTTGAACAGCTATTGCACCAAGTATTGGTGGTGAGCCTCTGTCCTTCGTTATCAAGAATTCAATGGTGTATTCACCCTCATTCCTGGGATTTTTGACAGTCACTTCACACTTGCCAACAGTTTGAGATTTCACTCCATTGTACATTCGAAGAGTAGTATTGACCTGTGTTTCCAACTTTTCCAGGTGGGGATTCTGAAACACATTAGCGTAGATAGTCTCTGGCAACACATTGACAGTAGATCCACAATCTAACTGAAATTTGACCTCAGTTTCTTTGATGAGGAGGACAGCATAAATCTTCCGTAAATACTGTTGTCTTTCACCATGTAATTGAACACTGTTCACATTTTCAACATCCACTGATAAAATATATTCATCCTCAGTATCCTCATCACTCAGTATTTGAGATTGGCTTGACTCGACTGGCACACATAAGCAAAATGATTTGGTCGTTTACATTTGTTGCAAATTCTTCCCCATGCTGGACATTCCTTCCTGCCGAACACATGACTGCGTCCACAAAATTTGCACTGTAGAGACTGATCACTTCTGGTAGTCAATCCAGGTTTAGTTTCCTTTCCTTTCGGTTTTTTGTAACCTCTAGTTTTACTGATAGCTTGCACATCCTCGGTGTTTGATAGAGATTTTAGTCTAGCAGCTGCTCTCTCATGGGACCTACAGATGTCAATACAATCTTTCAATGATAGGTTTGAAGACTGGAGCAGTCTCTTGCGAGTGGAGTTATCACAAATGCCCATCACCATTCGATCCCTGATGAGACTATCTTCAAGCGCTCCATAATTGCATGTTTTAGCTATGTCCTAAGTGTTGCTACATAAGTATCAACAGATTCAAAGTGTTCTTGATTCCGCTTGTTGAAATTGAACCGTTCCCATGTTTCATTGGTCTCGCCAATGCAGTAAGCTTCTAGTTTGTCCAATATTTTCTCCACTTTCCTCCTATCATTTTCACTGTCGAACTGAAACCCATCCAATATGTCTAGAGTTTCAGAACCAATAAAAGTTAACAGTGTAACTGATCTGCATTCATCAGAATCTGTCTTTGTTCAAGAAGCAAGCTCATAGTTTTCCCACATTCATTTGAACTTTATGAAATTCCTCGTCAAATCACCCTTCAGATCAAGCTTAGGAGGCAAGGGAATGTTCATAGGTACATGTATCACTTCTGGTGAAGGAACATTTCCACTTTCATCAGCCATCTGAGTAGTAGTAGCAGTAGTTTCGTTTATCCATATATTACTCACGACTAGCAATATAATCCGATTCACAGCAACTCCGTTAGTCACAGATTCAATATTGTCACACAAAACATCGCATGCTCTCCACTATCGAAATTAGGTGACACTGAACCACGTGCGTCTCGGCTCTTTCAATCAAAAGATATTCAGTCAGTAATGCACAACAATTTGTAAAGTTTGTCAGGCGTACTCACTTCTGACACCATGTTAAATTATACGTCATGTCTGGCGATGTCCTAGGAAGACTCGATAACATAAAACTTCGGTGGGAGACGATCACTTTACTCAATGTTGATTTTGGCCTACACAGACGCACGCTGCCCATGGACCAGTCATTGTGCACAGACTCTTAGGGAGTAATCATTATGCAACAGATTAGTGATGTTGTTTTAAGGAAAGGGGTCGTCCCATGATTTAGCTGAACTTAACTCATGGCCAAGGGACAGATTCCATACTGATAGATTGTCAGACTGATATCAACTCACCAATTATCCATGTTCAGTTAATTCATCTTGTTCACACAGGAAAATGCTTAGTCACTATCATTCATCACCATGGCTAATGTTCAAGTAAATCTAGAGTTCATTCCGAATACGCAAGGTGGTCGTAACCTTGTCTATCAAGGTTATAAGTTTAGAATACAGAAGAGACGCAACACCAGTGTCCATTGGAGATGTTGCAAGACAGGCTGTCCCTGACGATGTGTGGCTCAGTGCTGTGAACAATGTGAATTGTCTGAATGACCCAAGTGTGAACCAGGTTGCGGACTATGTGACACTGCAGTGGATAGAGGGTCCTGGTAGACTGGTGTGGAATCACTTCCACACCGTGGGTGCCAGGACCACAAATCATGTTGAAGGATGGCATGCAAGACTAAGCAAACTTGGCCAGAATCACCCCAACATATATAGATTCATTGACCTTATCCGAAGAGAGCAGAGCCACACTGAGACAACAATGCTTCAGATCCTACATGGTGCCCCCAAGAAGAAGTATCGACACATCAATGATGAAATCCTGCGGCAGAAAATTCTACTCGCAAATGGTGCGAAAACGCTAATGGAATTTGCCAATTGCATGTCACATTTAGTTGGACTTTAATTGTAATTCAGTGCTATCATGAAAACCGACATTCCAAATCTAGTGCTTATTTCTTTCATTGTTGACCTTTTATTACAACTGAGTAGGTTACTTTGTTTAAAGTGTTTACTGTGTGTAAAAAGTAAAGTTTGATTCAATTCTGTGAGTTGAGTGTGTTACTGTGTTGAAGAATTAAAGTTCTATTTAGCTATCACCATTGCCTGTATGTTGAGTATGATACTGTGTTGAAGAATAAAATTTTTGATTAACTTTGTATCACTATTGCCTGTATGAAGAATATATATATATCACTATTTTTCTGTCAGACAGAAAATACTAGTACGGTCCCCCAGTAATCCCTTTGTTTAGTTGTTTAATACGCCTGAGTGCTTCAGTAATTATGAACAAAAGGTGCCTGCACAGTGAGGAGACCCCACTATCACCTCCCTTTATCATACAATGGATAGCGTTCTTGGCAGGATAAAGCTAACGGATATTTTCAGTATCCGTTAGGGTCACATACGGATATCAATGCAAATTAGAGAGGTCTTATGCAAATTTTAGGGACTACTTTCACAGTGTGAACAAAATGGTATCACGTGTTGGCGATTGTGTCCGGATTGACAGCCGTGGTTACGGTACTGTCAGTGCTTTGATCCAAGAAAATTCATGTCTGGTTATGATAGATGGAGTGGATTACGAAGCGAAGATGGAAATTCATAATCTTACATTTATAGCGAGCAGAACATGTCATGCGAACATTAAAGTGTATTTGTTGTTCAAAAGGTTAACTGAAGGTTTCTGAAGTCCACACGAGTTTGTTGATATTTTCCAAATGTAAGCTAAGATTTGTCGACAACCAAAACATGGTTTAACATAAACTCGTACTGGGAGCTAGATGACCTACTGCAGTCTATTGAGTGATCAGTAGAAAATTGTGTCACCGAGCTTGTGACATAACATATTACTACGCACATGTTTGAGTCATCATAGATATCTGCACATTCCATGAAGTTTAGCTTCATGATTTGTGGCAACTGAAATCACATTTTTTTATAAAGTAAGAATGACATTGTGTGATAAATAGGTTATCACACTTGTGTGTTTTGGGATGGTTAATATCCTGCATTAGGAATAAATACTATGTATTTAGGTCGAAAAGGCTTGCTAAATACAATGTTTATTCCTAATGCAGGATATTAACCATCCCAAAACACACTCGCATGATAACCTATATATACTACTTCCCTACCTTCTACAACAGAACATCTGACAGCACACACTGCAACAGTCTCTGTCAAGATTCTGGTGTTTTAATATGTTTCTAGTTATCCTCAATTTTCATTTTCTTCCATGCTCACCAAAAATGAACTAAAATAATCAGATCAAATGTAATAACTGATTTCATTTATAAAGCACATCAATAAAAGTTGATGAAAGTTTACAAACTGGAACAACTAAAGTACATTTCAACTGACCTGATTACATTATCAAGTGACTCTTAGATAATGATTGCTAAAAAGATATAAGAAATAATCAAACAGATGAGTGTTGACAGGAGAGAAATCAGAAACAATGAGTGTTAGTAATAAACAAGACGGTGAAAGCAGAGGCAGACACTGGACAATGAAGCCAAGAACAGTGAAAACCACGACAGATTATTTCTTCTCTCCAAACATGAGTTAGTTAAAAAAAGTGGTTAGATAAGAGGTAGCATACGATCAATGGTGTCCACCACTGATATGCACCATATTACATGCCTGTGGCTGATCAATGGCCATTATCGGCCATACACATATAGGTCACATACATGTCACATGAAAAGGAAATGAATCAGGATGTCACAAGACAAAGGCAGCTTGCATTGTTCTTACATCAAGTGATATCATCATGTCATGTATGATAGAGGCAACATTTCTGTTTATGGATTAACTCAAAGAAGCCAAAAGCAACAATCAGACTAAAAAAGTGAAGTATTTTCATTTGCCTTAGTGCCCAATCTGTGATAGTTCTGAAAAGTAAAATGATACAACAACAAATGTAAAGTAAACGAAGACGTTTTAAATAACTGATCATGTGCATGTTGTCGTTGCAGACCTCTTACATTTGTTTGTGTAAAAACATTTATATTGCACTTAACACAGAAATAACATTTATATTGCACTTAACGCAGAAATAACATTAATTTCCACACACATGGGCCACCAAATAAACAATCAAATGAGTGAGCATGGTTTAATGCTGCTTTTAGCAACATTCCAGCAATATCACCAGAAATTGGCTTCACATATTGTACATATGTGGGTCTATCAAATGAAATACAGGGATCGAATTGCAATTTTCTCAAAGGGTGCCATGGCTCACCAGACATAATTTAACAGGACCTTTTTCAAAATAAGTGTACCATGCGATGATCAAATTAAACTTAAACATTTCAAACAGTTTTTAAGCACTAAGAGCAACCAAATGTTCATCACTTTTCACATATGTTTCCAGTTTTCTAGTTCGAAAACCCCTTGACCAAGTAACAAAGTGATTCAAGTGTGAACCTATTGCATACAGTGGCATATGTGATCCATGTTGACACAATACAACAAATCAGTGTCGGCAAAAATAAATATAGTCAGTCTAATGTTACCCTTCCAAGGAAGACTAATATGCCAAATGATGCTGAATGCAAAGCAATATATAATATATATACAAGAGTCGAATAGTATGAAAGTTAAGCTAGTACTTGAATCACTTATCATTGACAGTATACAGGCATAGTACAGGCTTTCACCAGAGAAGAAGAAACATACTAGCTTGGTTACTCTTTCAACGCACTACGTTCTACAGATAGTAGCAAGAGATTATATATTTTTCATAGCAAAGTTTTACTAAAATAAAATATTTGTTCCAGAAAAAATAGTTTTGAGCAATTATTTGTTTCACTGATATCTGCCATAGGCCCAGACAATGTCCAGATAGATCCCAGCTGCTGTATATACAACAGGATGAAATATAAAAGTGTATAAGACGAAATAAAATAGCTTTCTAATATTTATCAAATGTTGACATGCGAGACAGTTTATCACTAAAATTTTAGTGAGTGAGTTTAGTTATATGCCCCACTCAGCAATATTCCAGCTATACGGTGGCCTTCTGTAAATAATCGAGTCTGGACCAGACAATCCAGTGATTAACAGCATGAGCATAGATCTACGCAATTGGGAACCGATGACATGTGTCAACCAAGTCAGCGAGCCTGACCACCCAATCCTGTTAGTCGCCTCTTACAACAAGCATGGGTTACTGAAGATAAATATTCTAACCCAGATCTTCACGGGTCACTTAAATTTGATAAAAGGGGGGTAAACAATGATTTTGTAACATATTTAATGAATGTACATAATCTATTATATTCTAGATAAGCAGAGCAGTAAGCCACATAACAAAAGTCATTCCTGAACATGTCCTTAAACATCAAGGCCAGAAAATAGGAACTGTTTGACTTTCACCTCAAATTATGCTCTTTTTTTCACAGCATAGTCTTGACATTATAGAAAGAACATTGTGTAAAACTGAGACTTCTTCCAAATTTTGTAAATAGTTTGTTATGACATAGAAATTGTAAACAGAACAGTGGACACTTCTTGTTACTTGGGCTGAAATGATACATTGGTGTCATGGTACAACTTGTGTCTCTATACTTTGCAGCACGATTGTATTATTATAATACATATTATTGTGATACACCTTTTCAGAATAAATTTCCAATTTTGATGTTACAGTTTTGGTATTATGGAAACCCAAAGTTTAAGACTCTATTTGATGCTACATGTTTATGTCATGTCATTTTACATCAATACACCTGAAACCTAGACTTGGACAAAGTGGAAAAATGTGAAGGCCATGTCTGATATCCAGATTATGAAACAATCCATGAGATGCTACACATATGGACGTGTATTACACATTGACCCTCTCATGCTATGTTGAGGCTAACACTGTTAGGCACCAGAGCATCAAAGAATCATTTCAGCCAAAATTGTTACAAAGACAAAACCTTGAAACTACAATCACTAATGATAAATATTAATGAAAAGCCATGCAAACAGAAAGTACAAAAACCAATTGATAGTTATGGGACCCACAACCAGTGGATCATGAACCATGCAGTCTGAACAACTCACAGTGGGAGGATAGTTAGACCATCGATCTCGGTTCCGGAATGACATCTGAAGACAACCACACTTGTAATGTCAATGTTACTTTTTGTAACAAATACTGTTTCCTCCCATGGCTGTCACATTTCAATTCTTATTTTTGTCATAAGTTAAGTTACTGGCTGCATAACAGTTATCGCTGCTTAACAGGCTTCTACATGTAATCCCTTGTCATCACATTGATACTGTACTTCCCATTCACTTCTTGTTGTTCTTGTTAATTATTTACTGTATATATCACCCGGTTTTTACCCGACTCATACTTGCTTGACAACGATACAAGAATCTGCATTGAAACGTTGCATCATCCAAATACAGAAGTTGTTCATCCATAAAGTTTCTCCTTATCTGATTCACCAACTTCTAAACATGCCACTCAATGAAGTCAAAAAAAAAAAAATTTTATTCAGAATTCCAAAACTACCAAAAGGCACCAGTACATCACCAGACCTATCCATGTGCCAAGTTTGGTGAAGAAATAGTGAACAGTTTTAAAGTTCTGCTCCGAAAAAGAGCACTACTACCAAAATCAGTTGAAGTCGAACTTGTTGCCATGGAAACGCAAAAAATATTTTATTCAGAAATCCAAAAATACCGAAAGGCACCAGTACACCACCAGACCAATCTATGTGCCAAGTTTGGTAAAGAAATAGTGAGTAGGTTTGAAGTTCTGCTCAGGTAAAGACGAATGGGCACGGACGGACGGAGAGCATTTTAATACCCTCCCCCCACAAAACACGTTGACATGAATGACATGGGAAATTCTGAAATGGTGATAACTGTTATGTACTGTTAGTTGTGAGAAGGGCGGTGGGGTAGCCTAGTGGTTAAAGCGTTGGCTCGTAACGCCGAAGACCCGGGTTCGATTCCCCACATGGGTACAATGTGTGAAGCCCATTTCTGGTGTCCCCCGCCGTGATGTTGCTGGAATATTGCTAAAAGCGGCGTAAAACCAAACTCAGTCAGTCAGTTGTGAGAAAACAACTATTTCTACTGCCCTGATTCCCTTCTGCCACGTTATATAAAAACTCTATCAACGGCAGTAACTGTGAAGAGGTTGGACACATTGTTGAATAGCTAATTAAGTATCATAATTAATTCTGTTTCATTAAATTAATAAACGGCGGAGTAATTTTGTAAATACCGCTAAAATATGACGATAACTGTTCGGCAGCCAGTAGAGATCATTACAGTATTTTATAGATTCCATGTGGATGTCATCCAATACTTATAATAATAACAATCAAAATATGTAACTTTTCTCCTTAAGAAAGGGACTGTTAGACTACAGATATAGATGTATTCCAAAATCACCCTAGTGTGAACAGATTTATGCATGATATTGACTAAACATTGTTTACGCATCCGCTGACACAACATGTAGATCCCCGATCAGCTGATGCCAGGATGACTAGCAATCTTATTAAAAAAAACTGACAGTGTCAGTGTCAAGTGTGCTTAAGTTGAAAGTAACATTCCCTAACATTCGTTTGAAAGCGAATCGATTCAATAATGAGGTGTTGCCACCCTCTGAATTAACAAGAGAACCTACAAAAGGGTTGTGTCGCCGCCTACTGTCTGTCGACGATGAACGTTCTCTGTCAGCGCGCAAAAGAGTCTCTGTGTCCTCCGCTTCCGCCATTCTCTGTTTACATCTATCACGTGCTTGTCTAAATGTTCTAAAATGTGGTTCGGAAAAATAACGAAAAGGTATTCAACAGATAAAAAAGTCTAAGCGCAGCCCAAAGCAAAATGTACTCTTCAGTGTAATATTGTTTTAGTTCTATAATCATATTATATTACAAAATCGTCCATTTGAACAGCAAAAGATACGTGGGTTATGTGATTTTGGAACACCTTTAGAATTCACAGAGAGTATAATACGCGGTCAGCTTCTCTTACGGACGGTCAGTTTTTTTTATATGTCATATATTATAGACATTTTTGTCTTCTCTCCGAGTTTAGTCTGGGATTTTGTTAAAAGCCACGCACATAAATACCCCTCACTCCAACTTTTCGATCAGGGAATAGCTGTTTAATAGGTATATAAAGACAAGAGAATTATAAACTCATTTATACATTTTCATAAAAAAGTCTATTTTGAATTTTGTTTTCGAAAAGCCTCTCAAAGAGATCATAATGATGGCGTGAGTTGGGATTTCTAAACGGAGATGTGTACATTAAGGCAGAGTTGACAGAGACACGGTAACTTGGGACTGAGGAATTTTATTTCGTATACGAGTTCCACTCCGACATTTGATATACCCAAACCGGTCAATGTCAAGGCTGAAGGAACCATTCGGATTTTATCGTGTAGTTTCGATTGGCAACGTATGCTTGAAATCTCACATGGCATTGAAACCTACATATAGTTATTCCGATTGAATAAGCGTGTGCGAACACTATGGCGGACGACGAAGATCCCGTCGAACATGAGGTTTGTAATATGTTATGAGCATGCTCTTGAAGCTAAGAACTAGAAACAATTATAACCAATAGGACAGAAGCTTGTCTTTATTCTAACTTAACTGAAGAGTCCAGCTGATGCCTGGTAATACATGACATGACACAAATGTTACAGGTAGTCTTCCGTTTTGATAATGATATTGCTCGCCCCAGGAATCGAGCTCAAAATGAGTAAATCCTCTATTCTAGTTATGTACATTGTTATAAGTTCAATCCACTAAACGATTCTTGCATTATCAGAAGTTGTAAATGTTTTTTGCCGTTTGCATATTTCAGTTAGTGTGCAATTTATCATAATTGCACAACACATTGAGAATGTTGCATGTGCTGTCACACTCTATTAATGATTGCTGACAATATCATGAACGATGCTGAGTGAATATGAATTTTGTAACTGAACCTACGGAATAATTATTCCACCCAGTCAACCAAACTAGGCTCCTTCTCTATCACAGTGTCTGTGGAAATTTAAAAACAAATGTGGTGGGGGTCCTTGTCTCTGTTTTCACCTGTAACCAGTTCAAAGGTGCCTAACGTTCTTCAAAATATATTTGCAATAAAAATATCAGATGCCTGCAAGGCGAATAGTTTTTAGTTTTGGAACAGGAAGGAAATGAGATATGCCCCATCATTTCGATATAAACTCGACAGAGGTTATAGAGACCAGTGCTAAATCAGCATCAGACGTTATAAAAAGCCAGTGAAGGTGTGAAATGTAGCTTTGTAGTCACAATCAGTGGATGTTGAGTAGTTTGAATCACAGGGGCTTGTAATGCTAAAAGCTGCCATCAAGGTATGTAGTGTCACTAACGGGGTCTTATCACTATGTAAAAGGAAAGGGATGTAACGAGGTCCACACACCAAGTTCGTTTCAGGGCGAATTCAACAATGATCACTGTATCTGTCCCATTTAAAGTATGCACACATTTCAAGCCAATAGATTTACCTACAAAATAAGACATAGACCATAAAAATCGAAGCAGTACTTTGGGAGCTAGGGTCTTCGGAGACTCGAAAAATCGTGATTTCTCAATTCCGAGCCAAAATCCCTGCTCAGAATTTGTAGCGGTAACTCACCCATTTCCTTGTTTATTTCACAGTATACACATACGACATTCACCAAAACATGCTGAACTGATGGCACCTGTCCAGTGTTCACGAATGGTGTTTCAAAGTAACAGGACATTGGGTTCTGTAAGTTTAAGATGTCTGTCTGACCCATTGAAAATTCACAGGACCCATGGAATAAAATTAAACACACATTTAAGATTTAACATTTCTTATAATTGGCATTGAAATTATTAACAAACATAAGAAAAATTAAGATAAAATAAACAGCAAACAAGTGTCACATGTCACATATAACAACTTCAGTCAAAGTCATTGTGAAACATACAGTCAAAATGGTGGGTTGTAGACTTCTATCGGACCGTTGGCGAATCTGCCGGATTTGTCAGAGGGTCAGACACTATTCGCGAACACTGCCTGTCAGCGCGTTAGTCGCCATTCTTTCGGAGACATTTACATCTAACTGTCATAATGAATTTACGTACATTATGATTTATTCATCGCAAAGAGAATTGTGTCGTGCCTGTTCGCCATTGACGACCTTGGCCTTAACCTGCCCCGCACTTAAAAGAGCAAGGGAGCTCATTGGCTATAAATAAAATATGTCCCATCAAATCGCTTACTCTTTTCACTCGATGTAATTGTCTCCGAAAGAATGGCGAATTGAGAAATCACGATTTTTCGAGCTTCCGAAGACCCTAGCTCCCAAAGTACTGCTTCGATTTTTGTGGTTTATGTCCTATTTTGTAGGTAAATCTATTGGCTTGAAATGTGTGCATACTTTAAATGGGACAGATACAATGATCATTGTTGAATTCGCCCTGAAACGAACTTGGTGTGTGGACCTCGTTACATCCCTTACCTTTTATATAGTGATAAGATCCCGTTAGTGACACTACATACCTTGATGGCAGTTTTTAGCGTTACAAGCCCCTGTAGTTTGAATAGAGCAGGCCATAGCTACGATTTGGCTGCTAACTGCTATCTTCGAAAGCTAATAATTGACGTACATTCACTGATCTTTAGGATCTTAGCCCTTGGTCCCCATTTCAGTTACAGTGTATTTATTTTAGAAGCAAAATGTTAAAGAAAGTGAATGAGGATGGTGATGTGTCACTATATTCCGTGGTTGGGGTGCACCAGAAATTGGCTGCACATGTTGACATCACACCCGGACATTTGGAGTGACTAGCAAGTGCTTTATGCACTGGACTACCCAACCACAATATGCCTCATTAGATCATTTGGTAATGGCTAGTGGTGGTCCGATTAATTGAAATAATCAAAGATTGGTCGCAGTGACTAAACGACCAAGCAATCATGTTTTCTTATAATCGAACACAAACAATTCTAGTACACTTGTTTTCATTAACACTATTTTTCGCTAGATTGGTTTTGTCTGTTACATTTCATAAGCACTACAAGCTCGTTCCAAGTCATGATTGAATTTATCTTAAAGACTCTTAAGACTCTTAAGAAATTTATGTTACTCTAACTAGTCATCCTTTAAAGATGTGAAATTTTGCCCCCCCAAAAACCAAAGAACTACATGGTTTTTTCCTTATTTTTTGTGCATTAACACATTTCATAAATGACGCTAACCAATTATTTTCGATGATTGATCGGTTGTAATGAACCAATCATCAATTATGAGATTTTAACCAATTCCCAAGACTAGTAATGGCAACCTGTTTGCTTAGCGGTCCATGTATCCATGATTGTCTTTGGAGTTCAGCATCACGTTTGTACAATTTGTCCTTGGCTTGTCAGCTTGTGTGAGTTTCAACAGAAGTGAATGTCCTCAACAAGTGGCAACAAGTGGCAAGTTGTTTTTCTGCACAGCATTGTTTGAAATTCAGAACAACTGTCAGCTGGATGACAGAGCATGGAGAACTTTTCAAGTGGCATTAACAAATGTATTTGTTGTCAGTCTAGCATGTCACATTGGCAGTCTGTCTGTGCCTTTTCATGGCAGTTTGCTTTAAAGGTACAATGCATGTTTAATTTCCACTAGAAACACTGATAATATAAATATTTGAGATGATTAAACCTTTGGAGACTAATTATTTCATATTTTCTTTTCCAGATTAATGTGTACCTCTCTAAAAGCTTGGCACAAAATTTATGCCTATTTCAGGTAAGAAATTTATGAAAAATGTGTTCACATCGTATCCCTGATGTGAAATCCGTTGAAATGGCGAAAAAGATTGATGATCACAGCTATCTTTGGAAAAAAATTGTCAACGATTATTGGTATGAAAATAGTGTCATCTATGATGTCATGCATAAACTGTTGTGATAAAACAAAGTTTTAATGTACACTCAGATTACACAGCGTATGTCTTTATGTTGTCCTAAAGTATGGTCAGAGTGCTGTATATTTTAGTAGTCCATGTTTAGATATGTCAACACATTTGTGACGTGTAATATGTTGATTTCTTTCAGACTTATTTTTATACATCTTTGCTCATATGTTTTTGTTAACTATTATCAACTTCTGTGATCTATATCTGTTATCGATGTTAGAGATTAGTTTCAAATGCTAACATTGTAAATAAGATAAAGCAAGGAAATCTCTTATTAACATTTATATTGCCCTTGAAAGAGTAATTATTGTCAGTACTGATTGGGTAGAACAGTAATTACTTTCAAATAGTTGACATTTGGTTAGATGGTTAAGGTACAACAGGTTTGTTTATCTGTCTGTACCTAAGGTCTCGACCACATTGTAACAAACAATAGCTCTCTGTGATCTTATGCTAACCTCTTGACAAGTGGATATATCATCAGAAGCTTGGTGAGGTCCATGTGTTTTCAGGAGTACACATCCAACCCTGATGCACCAGCTGTTTAGACGATGCAGTATTGTGGCTTATATATTATATGTACTTGAACAATATGTCATGTCCCTTCAGCTAATTCATATATAAACAGATCAACAGACATGTGATAACTAGGGTGGAACGATACAATGAGGCTGCGTTAGCCTGATACAGTGCTTTAATTTCACACATTCTTTTCTTCTCTCATTTTGCAGGAAAGTTATGACCCAGAATCATTTGTTTTCAGGTTTCAGATAGAAAAGATGGGATATTGTATGGTAGAAACATATATGGTTGGGGGCACTGTAGAGATTTTGCTAGTTATACCCGTCCAGGAAATACCAGAGGATCTGCATAAACTGGATCCTTTACGTCAATATTGCTTGTAATGAATCGCATGTATTATGGTAGTTGTAAGTGCTGTATTGCCATATTGTTGCACCAGTAGTGATCTTCCCTGTTTCACATTGTTTAGTGTACATGCAGAGATCACAATTACAGTGTGCAGTTACCAGTGGTTCCGCGCCTCTTTCGGACGATTTTATGCATACCAACCAGGCACTAAGGGCAGATAACTCAACTTCTATCACAAAACAATTCTGGACATCTAGCTGTGACAGTGTTGATGCCTTTTTACTAGTATTTCAAGTATTTGCTGCTACTAACAATTAGTGCAAATATAGTTTCTAACTCTGCTAAAGTTACTCACAATACTCTCTAGGTCTCTGAAGGTTATGCATTGTTATCCCAGTGGTTGCTGGGAGGAGAGGAATGTGTACGCCATGCCTGTACACAGACTTATGTTGTATGTTGCAGTACCCAGTGCGGCCAGCGCACATGACCTATGATTCAGTCACACACCTATCTGCTCGGGTCAAGCCGACCCAGAAGAAGGTGAGAAACATCTTCACTACAGTAGACTATGCATGTATAAAAGTGTAGTTAGATAAATATTTAGACTGTTTAAAACAGTGTTTGTGGCAAGAAAATGATTATTTATATATTCTAAATTGCAAAGAAGATAAACACTCAATGAAGGTATACAACAACAGAGTGTCATTATTATGATCATGTCACCATGACAACAGGTTGAGCTTGAGCTGAACATCAACACGCGGAGCCCCAACTACGCCCGGAGTAAAGGGGAGCAGATAGCCCTCAATGTAGATGGGACCCCTGCAACAAGGAAGGGCGAGCGCTTCTATGGCAGGTGAGAGACTCAGGAATCAGGAGAGTACAGGAACACAACACTTGCTAGTCTCAGGAACTGGCCCAGTTGTTGTGTGTGTGCTTACACTGACCACTGACAGAGTTTTACTGGATACAAAATATAAGGATACCCTTGAACATACTGGTGTAACATGCGAATTAAACATAACTTGACTTTAACATGACTTTCACCCAACCTTCACATGACTTGAATCAGCTATAGAAACTGGGGGGGGAATTTGAGTTTGATGTTAAAATTGATGTGGTCTGTTTAACTATCACTCATTCCTTCAACAGTCTTAAGGTGGGTCATTTTGTGCAGAATTGAAATTGGTTCAGTGAAAAATCAAGAAAATAACTTTGCAGCTCTTGAACATCATGCATTGCTACATTCTACTGAGGGTTATTGTTTGTTATATGCTCGTCAGTATGCATATGACCCGTTCAGATCCATGTTAGAATTGGGCTTCAGCAACCCATATTTGTCGTAAGAGGCCACTAACGGGATTGGGTGGTCAGGCTCGCTGACTTTGTTGACCACATGTCATCATATCCCAATTGCATAGATTGATGCTCATGCTGTTGATCACTGGCTTGTCTGCTCCAGACTTGATTATTTACATACCGCCACCATATAGCTGTAATATTGCTGAGTGTGGCATTAAACAACCTAATCAAATCTTCAGAGTATACCCCAGGTGAGCTACAGTGTATCTTGTTGCTTGTGTTATGCAGTGAACTGATGGACAAGCAGGTGCTCACCTCCTCTTCATGCAGCATGTCCACAAACCGCTACGCAGCAGGAGTCCTCAAGGAGGGTAGGTGCACCTGTACTTCAGGATAGCTTTCACAATACACAAATGTTCATTTAATCATGGAGTTTAGAAATTTGAAGATAATTTCCTGTGAGAAATCAGCAATTATGGTGATTGAACTCCTATAACTACTCATGGAGTGAAGATCCTGATTAAAATTGATCTTTAGCAACCCATGCTCAAGGAAAGAGCTGAATAACGGGATGGGTAGGTCAAGCTTGCAGACGTGGTGGCACTTGTCGTCGTATCCCAATTTGTAGATCGATGCTCATGCTGTTGATCACTGGATTGTCTGGTCCAGACTCGATTATTTACAGACCGCCGCCATATAGCTGGAATATTACTGAGTGTAGCATAAAACAACAGTGTTATATGAAAAGTGTAAAGAATTGTAGGCCATATATCCATAATTGTATTGTGTACTGGAAATGATAGAGTGAAGCAGTTGCCAGAATTCTTGTATGACTTCGAATACAGATATGTTTCATCTCAAGCTTTAACCTCTGGCATAACAGTCATAAATTCAGATGTTAGCTGAAAGTATTTTACTGACATTTTCTAATTATCAAATGTTCAAGTAGCTTGTCTAACCATGTTGATTGGTCTTGAAAATAGGGCATGTTGTGTATGTGCGTGCACCATGTTGGTGATGATGGTGTCTGTGTTGTTGCAGGTGAGCTGCACCTGACACCGCTACATGGGCTGGTGCAGTTGCGACCTGGCTTCTCCTACCTGGACCATGCAGACACCAGGCCCAAACCTGACTTGACTGCTGGCGGCGATGTGGGTAGGTATACAGGGCTAGTCACGTGGTGCCTTAATACAGGACTTAAGTACTGTTGGAAATAGAAAAAAATGTTTTTAGGCTGTTACACTGTATCCCTAAAATTAACACAACTGCAAATATCATATGTCGATATAACCCACTTTGGCTTGACTGGGCATTCAGTGGGATGCATAAGAGAATATCCAGAAAAGCATGTTTACTCGTAAAATCGGGCAAAAAATACGAATAGCTGCTGAAAACAATAGATCAGATTATAGTTAGGAGTTAGGTCGCTGGAGCCTTCATATCGGATATATGCTCAGAGAATTCAATAATGAATAATGTGTGCATGCAATTTATCAAGCGAACAATAATCATTCTGAAACAAAAGTGGAAAGTCAGGACATTCCATGTGTGCTGGTTATGAGACACCTATAACATCACCTTTCCACTTTGAATTTATGAGATACATGCATTCAAAAATGTCTCTGAAATTTTAGCATCAAACAACAAAATGTTTTCATTAATACAAACAGTCAAGTTAAAATCAAGCAAAATATCCAATGATCATTCATGATCCTGTTTTTGGAAACGAGCAGTGGAAGATCATGTTGAACATGGCCCTGTGTTTTCAGGAGATTCGTCCCAGGACGAGATGGAGGAAGAAGCCAAGCCCGTGACCGTCAAGTTTGCCCGTCACGAGAGAGTGAGGAGGCTAAAGCTAGGAGAATGGCATCGTATGAATATCTGAAACAGAGAATGAATGAAGAGCCCTGGGTACAAGTGGAGTGCCATGGGATAGAGGTGAGAGAATCAGAAGAACATCAACGCCTAAATTCCTGGCTCTCAAAACACCATAATATTTTTAGATTTTCAACAGACACCGTCTTAGCTTATCCTTCTTCACTGCCGACTTATATAAACATGATAAATAGTTCTGAGGCAAACGTTATCACCAGGCTTAATGCAACTGTGCACATGTTGCAAGTCCGAATCTTGTGAAGACAAAAAAAATCAGGGATTATTGAAATGGATGACGACAGCCCAAACAGGAATCCATGACTAGGATGTAATAGAGGTTGTATTATAGACATTGCAATAATTATAGTTTGCTGTCTGGTGTCCTCACACGGGATATTGCTGGATAGTTGCTAAATATGGTGCAAACCCATGGTCACTCATGAGCTGGACACATGTTTAAGAAAGTGTTGTCCAAAGGTTAAAACTTACTCTCTTTTGAGTAATGCACTTTAATTCTGAAGTTTTATGAAAGTGCTGGCTTGGGATTTAGACACAGCTTATAAGTCTATATATTTCAAACAAGTTTAATTCAAAATCACACAAAACCTATTATATCTGATATGATTCAAATTAAGACTATGTCAATGGAGCAGATACTGTTTGTTCTGATGAATATTCTGACACAACTTCTCAGTTTCTAACATCCAGTATCCAGACCAGCTCCAGGATACTAATGTACAAGCTGTCATTGGTAGTACATGCCAGATCTTGTTGCAGGACAATATGGCAGAGTCAGAGCGGCTGTTGCTCCTAGCAACACAGGGTGATGACATGTCAGAGTTCCAGATGGCAGGGAAAGACTACATGCATTGTCTGATGCCCCCAACCACAGAGCAGACAGAGTGAGTATACCATGCTCCGGAAGGAGTGAGTATAAAATACTCCTGACAGAGTGATTATACCTTACTCCAGACAGACTGAGTATACCATACTCCAGACTACTTCAGTTCTCTGTCTGCCAGTCTCATGCACAGAAAAACCACACTGTCGTTCTTGGTCTCACAATAAAGGCACACTGTGTCAAGTGTTGAACCAGCTGTTGGTCTCCCAATAAGGGCACACTGTGTCAAGTGCTGAACCAGCTGTTGGTCTCCCAATAAGGGCACAGTGTGTCAAGTGCTGAACCAGCTGTTGGTCTCCCAATAAGGGCACAGTGTGTCAAGTGTTGAACCAACTGTTGGTCAATAAGGGCCACTGTGTCAAGTGTTGAACCAGCTGTTGGTCTCCCAATAAGGGCACAGTGTGTCAAGTGTTGAACCAGCTGTTGGTCTCCCAATAAGGGCACAGTGTGTCAAGTGTTGAACCAGCTGTTGGTCTCCCAATAGGGGCACAGTGTGTCAAGTGTTGAACCAGCTGTTGGTCTCCTAATAAGGGCACAGTGTGTCAAGTGTTGAACCAGCTGTTGGTCTCCCAATAAGGGCACAGTGTGTCAAGTGTTGAACCAGCTGTTGGTCTCCCAATAAGGGCACAGTGTGTCAAGTGTTGAACCAGCTGTTGGTCTCCCAATAATGGCACAGTGTGTCAAGTGTTGACCCAGCTGTTGGTCTCTTAATAAGGTGACTGTGACTGTTGTAATGTGTCAGGTGATGATGATGTGTTATTAAAAATGCAGTTTCTCTATTTTGACTGAATTTCAGAGACCAGCCGGCCATGCCCAACAACGTTCTGTCTCTCTCCCAGCTTAGGACTCTTCCTCTCCCAGACCAAGTCCGTACACTTCTCATCAATGGTATGTTCACATGTTGTAATGCTGTAAATATATTATTATCCCATGACATGTGAGGAGCTTTGACAAGAAAAGAAACAACATAAGGCATTTGCAATAGTATCACAACAATATCACAAATATTTAACTTACCTTACCTCATGGTAATGTGCATGCATATTACCTTTGCTCATCCGATACAAAGACTGGAAACGTGATCGATAAATATCCTTGTTGAATGCTATCATGAAACTGGTGACGTGTCGGTCTCGTCCTGCGAGCGGAAGCATGCCCCCCAATCCCGTCATGTGACAACGAAACATGTCACTTTATCCTTTATCGCACTGCGAGTTGGACATGTATCGTAGTGCATAGGATATTTCTGTTTTCATTACTTACTGTTTTCTTTGTGTTTTGCTACGGTAAGGTTTTCCTATTGTATCCTTCTACCATGATATAACGAAAAGTCTACTCACCGTTGGCTGTTTTTTCTCACTGTACAGTCTTCGCGGTGTGTTGTTTTGCTTTGTTTTGCCTCGCGTTGTTTAATTCAGCTTCGCTTCGGCAGAATTTGGTACTTCTTTGGTCAGCCTGGGTTGTTTTTGTCCTTGCTTGACCATTGTATGTATCTTGTTCTCTTTCTTTGTGTCATATTTTGTGTGTTTCTCCTCGTAGAGGTTTTTCACATGCTTGGCAGTAATGGCGGCTGTCGCTAGGCGTGGCACATACATGCAGAGCTACTAGTGTGTGCTCACTGTTGTCATTTAGTTTCGTATTCCGCTTTTCCCGCCGTTTTTTCGCTTCACTGTCGCGTTAAGTTGTCGGTGTTTCTTTTCTTATGGGTAAGCGTGTGTATACCAAAGTTATGTGGTTTTGCACGTGGGCCTTCCCTTGCCATACAGGAACGGGAGGATCGCCAGCGTCCAGATGATCGTTCTAAGGAACGCGAGCGCTCCTCTGATCGTCCACCTTCTGGAGATGACCAGCGTTTGCCCACAGACCGGCAACGCTCCCCTCAACGCTCTTCCCTCAACTTTCACCAAGCCGTTCACCTGCGCGGGACGTTTGGTGTTCTCCCAAGCGCGCAACGGAGTGTGACGCTCAGCGTTCTTCTCCTAGACGTTTGCCTCAGCGCTCTCCTGTACAGGGCGTTCGGCGCTTCTCGTCTCTGTAATCCTCTCGGCGCTCCCTAGGCACTAACCACGGCGTTCACCTCGGAGACAACCTTCACCTTTTCATCGGCATTCCCGTTCCCGATCACCTTTGTTTAGGTTTCAGGATTCCTCATCTCTTGTGTTGGAGGCTCAGTTTGTTCCAGATTACGAGGAAGAAGACACCAAGGGTCTGACGCACTTGGGCATGGAGAGTGTTTACGCCTGGATAGCTGACAGACTTATCACTTGCACGTCTCCAGGGTCGGATATTCCTCGTGCTACCTCTATTTGTGATGAACCAGAGCTCCTTCTGCCATCGCATCCCATGGTTGCTGATGCCATTGCTCCACTTGACGAGGATTTCCAAAAGTTATCTTTCAATCCCTCCATCAAGCCTGCTAAACATCGCCATCAGGATTACAAGGTGCATTCTTTTGACTTTGTGGATTTTGGCGCTACACAAGATGAAGCGTCGAAACGATTGTCGGATGCATCTCAAGCTCAATACAAGGTCCCAAATGCCAAGTTGTTGGCGATTGATACGGAACTCCGTCGAACCTTGTAGCCCCTCTCTGTGCTTGCTTCGGCCACGGAGGCCATGTCTCAAGATGTCTCATAGGATAACCCTTCCCGCTTGGATCATCTTACCACTTTGTTTAGGTGGATCACGTTCGTCGTGGATCGGCCTTAGCTACCACCACTGTGACTAGGAGGACTGGGTTACTCACTCCCTGTACCTGGCAGGAGGAATTTAAGAAAAGACTAATGCTTGCCCCGTTTGCGGCTCCCACCTTATTTGCGGATAAGATCCCGGATGTCTTTTCAGAGCATGCCTCCTTGACCCAAACTGAGATTGCGCTCCGATCTTTTCGTCACTTCGCCACTTTGTCAGCGCCAGCTACCAGGACCACCAACCTTTACCAATCCAGGAGGACATCGGTTCGTGGAGCCTTTAGAGGGCGTGGCAAGGGACTTCCAACGTCGTCCCGCCGGTAACCAAAAGGACTTTGGCAAGACCGGCAAACCAAAATACAAGCGCCGCTGATGTTTTGGGCTGTCACGACTGGGACCTACCGCCCCCAGTCGTCCATATCCGCGATATACCTGTAGGCGGGAGACTCGGGGTCTTCTGGGTCTCCTAGGAGACCCCTTTGTCACCAATCTTGTCAAGACAGGCTACAAATTGCCAATAGCCATGTCGCCGCCTTTGACCACCTCGCCCTAGTCTCACGAATATTCCATCGTTCAACACCAGCACCTGTTCAGGCGTTGTTGGACAAGAAAGCCATAGAACATGTACTAGAGCCCAGCAACTCCCCAGGGTTTTACTCTCCCATCTACTTAGTACCCAAAAAGAATTCTCAGAAGATGAGGATGATACACAATATGGCGGTGTTCAACAAACTGTACCTTCCGGAGCCGCCACATTTTCGGATGGTATCTCTGATCCAGCTACAAACCAAACTGTCCCCCAAGGATTGGTTGGTCAGTCTGGATCTTCAAGACGCCTACCTACATGTTCCCATATACGAGCCTCACCAGAAGTTCCTGAGGTTCATTTTCGACGGTCACCATTACCAGTGGAAGGTCCTGCCGTTTGGCATCTCTATGGCCCCGTGGCTTTTCACTCGAATTACAGCACCGATTTCCCGGTATCTTCTTCTTCAGGGGATAGAGTTTGACCCATACATTGACGACTCTCTCATGAGCCACAAGGAGTGCCTGCTACTACGCAGACAGAGGGACTTTACACTCAAGCTTTTCCACCAACTTTTCCCACCTAGAGCCATCTCAACAGCTGACTTTCATAGGGGGTTTGTTCCTGACAGATCAAGACCTGCTGCGGGTTCCACCGGACAGATGGCAAAGAATGCTCAGTCTTGCTCGGCGGGGTCTGTCATGTCCGCTTACACTCAAGGAATGGCAGTCCATACTAGGTCTGTTGACGTCGGCTCAGGGAGATTGATGCTCAGACCGCTTCAACGGTTCCTCTCTCCTTTCATCCTCTTAGACAACCTCAGGTTGCGGTTTCCGCTGCCCCTTCATCTTCATCCCTTTCTTCAGTGGTGGACGATCGAGTCGAAAGTTTGCGGTGGCGTCTTTTTCACTGAATTCACACACGACCGCGAACTGTTTGTGGACGCCTCTCTGCAGGGTTGGGGCGCTCACCTGGACTCTCAGACAGCGGCAAGGCTGTGGTCAACCGCACAGGCACGTTGGCACAGCAACAACCTAGAGCTTCAGGCTGTCATCTTAGCCATTCAGCACTGGATTCATTCGCTACGGGGTTCCAAGCTCTTGGTGGCGTCGGACAACTCGACAGTGCTCCGGTTGATCCGCAACCAGGGAACAACCAGCTCGGGTCTTCTGATGAATCAGACGTTTCGTTTGTTTCGCCTCCTGGACGACAACAATATCGTCACATTCCGGATTGCAGAAACGTCTTGGCAGACGCTCTGTCCCGACCAGACAAGCCGTCCCCGACAGAATGGATGCTTCATTCGGAAGCATTCAATCTTGTTTGTCACCTCCATCACAGACCTTTAGTGGACCTCTTTGCAACGAAGCACAACCATCAACTTCCGGTCTACGTGTATCTTCTTCCGGATCCTGTCGCTTGGGCAGTGGACACCCTGTCCCTCTCGTGGGAGGGTCTAGACGCCTACGCGTTTTCTCCTCCTGTTCTTCTTCCCAAAGTCGTAGCCAAGCTCAAGGAGACCAAGCGGATGATGACTCTGCTTTTGGTCACACCTTGGTGGCCGGCGAGAACCTGGTTCCCCGAACTACGTCGACTCGCCGAAGGAGATCCTCAACCGCTACCACAGTGGCCGCACCTTCTATGGCATCCTCACAGCCACTTGTTGCACCCAGATCTGGACAGGTTTCATGTATGCACTTGGGCCATCTTCAGAAAGCTCTGAAATCCAAGTGTTATTCGGCTGGTGAGGCTACGATCATCGCCCGTGCTCATAGAGTGTCCACCCGCAGCCTGTACGATGACAAATGGTCTGCGTTTGAGAAGTTTTGCACTGATCGCTCTAAGAATGCGGTTAAAGCGTCTCCTCAATTTATTGCGGAATTCCTCTTCTACCTACGCAACACTCGTCATCTGAAGGGTGGTACGATTTTTACTTATTTGGCAGCCCTTAATTCAGTGCTGGCCGTCAAGTCTGATAGGAAGGTCTCCAAGATCCCTGAACTACTAGCCATGGCCTCCTTCGAGGACTTGTCCAGAAAAAGTTTTTCTTTTGGCGTTTGCTACTGCGGCCAGAGTTAGTGAGCTTCATGCCATAGCTGTCACCAGGATTAGGTTTGAACTGACTCGTCACGGTTCCGTCCATTTGGGCCTCCTCTGGGACTTCATTGCCAAAAACCAGTTGCCTGGTCAACCGGATCGTCTGTTTGTCATCCCTCCTTCGTCTTCTATAGTGGGCAGTGACGACTCCGATGAACTTGTGTTGTGTCCCGTCAGGGCCCTTAAAGAGTACATCAAGCAGTCGTCAGTCAGGAGACGTACCAGGAAACGTCTTTTTATTCCGTTTTCTTCTGCGTCGAAGGGTGAGGTCAACAGAAATACCATCGCTTTGTGGCTTCGCTTGACTGTCCTTGCAGCTTACGACTCTGCTGGTTTGCCTCACCCTACCGCCATCAACCCGCACGAGATCCGGGCCTTAGCGTCCATCATGGCTCTGCACAGAAACTGCTTGTCCCCCACTATTATGGAAGGTTGTTTTTGGAGGTCTAACACAGTCTTCGCCAGCCATTATCTCCAGGATCTGGCAGTCCAGAATGTACAGGGGCTTCAGTCCTTTGGCCCGCTCATGGTAGCTCAGCAACTGACGCTGCCCTCTTCTCACTAGGTGCTTATTCCTTTTGTCTAATCATCTTAGTGATAGTTTTAAGGTTAACCCACGTTCTCTTATGTTGTGTTTTCCTTATCAGGGGTTCTACTGGTGGTTTACTGTTCTTGTTTCAACGATTCCAGTTCTACAACAAGACAGTTTCCACATCCCCGGTTGTGCTGTTTTTGTCTGATAGTTTTGGCTGGTCTTCGCCGGTGTCCGACCCTCCTGCCTTTCTGTCAGATCAACATGCACATTACCATGAGGTAAGGTAAGTTAAAAATTTATTAAAGTCTTAATATTTTAGATATTTAAATACTTACCTTACCTCATGGCGTCTTATGCCCTCCCTACAATGGATCATTTCCTCCCTGCTTTTGACTCCGCTCGGACTTCAGGATTCGGATAAAGTGACGTGTTTTCGTTGTCACATGACGAGATTGGGGGGCGTGCTTCTGCTCGTCGGACGAGATCGACACGTCACCAGTTTCATGATAGCATTCAACAAGGATACTTATCGATCACGTTTCCAGTCTTTGTATCGGATTAGCAAAGGTAATATGCATGCACATTACCATGAGGTAAGGTAAGTATTTAATTATCTAAAATATTTAAAATTCATCAATGCCAGCAGACCATGGACAGTTGTGAGGCATCTGTAGGCAGGTCAGTCATTCTACCCCATCACAGTGTTTGTGTTGAGTAACATGATGTGTGGGGTTTCAGTGAAAGTCCTCCGCCTGTCCCAGCTGCTGGCGCTGCTACCCCAGGGGACAGACCCTGCAGCTGTGCTCCGCTCCCTCCAGCAGGTGGCTGTGCTCATCCAGGGATGCTGGGTCGTCAAGAGGTAAGCCTTAGGCCGTTGGGAGTTTCTGTTTACTTAGAACGTAGGATTAATTAGTTTGATACAAAGGTCACCTAAATCCAATACTCTCTAAATCAAATCTCAGACAAACAATACAAGACAGGACACACTGCAGGCCAGCTACCAATGCAGACATTCAGACTGCCATGTCATTGTATGGAATACAGAGTTGTGTCCCTTGGTTGGGATCACCATTATAACTGAACCACCAGCATTATTATGATTTAGTCAAACACGCCCTCATGTCTCTTCACAACCTTAAACACATAATCTGTTGATGGCATCCTTTCACTACCAATAGAGTCGAGACTATTTCCTGATGGCAGATCGATGATAACCTAGTGTTGAGATATGTGGATGTGTGATCGTTCAATCCCACGTTCCTGTGTTGACAGTGAGGTGCTGTACCCGAAGGAGGCCTGCAGCCCTCACAGCGGCATCTCCTCCGAGATTCTGTGTCGTGGCAGGGACTACGTGGTGAGCAGCAGTGTCTTGCCGACACTTGTAACGCCTCTCATTTGAATTGTCAAAATAGGATTTCCAATCACAAACAATAATATAGATGACAACTTCTTCATTCACACTGAGGCAAATATTGTGCAAGTTCAAGCATGGACTATGGGTCACCAGCAACCTGTTCTAAAAGAATTGTCAAAGACGGATTACGTTGTAAGGCTTGGCAACATATTTGATTGCCTGACATCGTATCCCCAGAACTTATCACGGGTTCCCTCAAATGACTGACTGACTGTTTCAGATGTGGAAGTTCACTCAGTCCAGGCATGTTGTCCGCAAAGATGTGTCATCTGTGATAAAGGTAGGTCACATTGCATCATATATCTATTGTCAAATAAGCTCAACTGGACATAGAAGTGTCTCTGAACTTTCAATCACAAGTATCTTTGTATTACAGAACGCTTATGCCAGGCTACTTGTGACTCCAGTTTGATATTGTGGCTTCACTGCAGTATCTACTAAACACTGGTTATTACAATGGTGATTTCATTCTCAAAATACAGCAATGAAGATGACACATAGTTTCTGAGATTTGTGTCCATTTCTTTATAGCTACCAGCAGAGGATGTCAAGGATATTCTGGAGCAGATGTCAAAGGTCAAGGCCAATAAGGGCTGGGAGTTTGTGTGTGAGTTTGACAAGGAGTTCGCAGACAGGTGAGGAAGTATGCTATCACATCATGTTTCATAAGGTGAGCATAGTGTACCAGCATCTACATTATACTCGGAAGGTTTCTGATGAAAGTCTTGATCAGGGGTATTAGGGTGTACACCACACTAGTAAACAAACCTTTGAAGCTAACCAGTAAATGCACGCAGCAGTATTGTGACTCACAGTCAGATTCTGACCTTAATAGTTCATGATTGTCATGGAAACAGACAGAAATGGGGATTGAATGGTCTGGGTAATTGAACAAGCTGTGACTCCTGGTCACTCCACTTGTTGTTGATCATGCTATCGACCCAGACTCAGTGCCACTCTCATATTGTGCAGTGTTGTTGACTGCGCTTAAACACACGGACATAACTTGACAGTCAGAAATGTAGATGCCAGTCACACAGACCATTCATGTGATGTAGACATGAGTGGTAATAACTGAGGGTAAACTATCTGTAGACTGTATTTGTGGGTTGTTACCTGTGCTGACTGGACTGTGTGTTGTGCAGGTACACAGACATCGTACAGCGGCAGAAGATGCTGTGGGACGCCAAGTACCAGGCCCTCGCCAAGCAGTTCAAGATTCCAAAAGATCAGGATAAGAAAGTGAAAGGTGAAAACATGTTCATTCTATTCATATTTCACAGAATTTTGTTACTTAATAGATGTTTCAATAAAGATAATCAAGGAAGTGGTATAGAAATTTGAAGTTTCAACAGAATTTGTTTTGTAGACTGATTCCTAATCTTTTCTTGAAATAAGAACCATTTTGCTGGAACATATCTTAGGCTATGAGTTAAACCCATGTATGACTCGCAAGATAGTGCTCATGACACCTTGAGGGTGCTGAGAGTTGGCATGTTTCCCAGTCCTTACAGGGTCAGTGAAACCTTAGCTCTATTGATGCACAAGTTGTATTTGCAATTTTGGTACAAGGGGACACAGGTTGTGCAGTTGCAAAAGGTTCTCGATTTGCTAAACAGAGTTGCATTTCTTGATCACGCTAGCTCCGTTCCAGTTCGGCCCATGTGTGTTTCTGTATTTGTCAGTAAGATACCTGTATCACAGTGGTTGTCATCTTGAGACTGCCTCACATCGACTTGCCTCACATATTAAGCTGATGCTGTGAAAGGTCTGGAATATTGTTCAAAGTGGAGATAAACCAAACACATTTGAAATGCAATGGATTGCCTTATATTATATCATGCATCTTATTAAAAACAAGTTTGATTATCCTACAGGAACTGAAATGGAATCTCCTACCAAAATTGAAAAGCCACGCCGCCGAAGAACATCATCAAAATCATCACCACGACAACGGACACTTAGTGGTCGGTCCATGTCAGATCAGAGTGATATGGAAATGGATCCTGGAAATCAAACAAAGGAGGTAACCCCTGCAACGACAGAACCTCTTGTGATAGCAACTGAGGAGGTCCATGATGTAGTACCAATGGAGGTGTCGGAATCCGACCATGTGACACAAAACGGTCCAATCAGGGAGAACATGAATACCAGTGATACCAATAATTTAACAAATGGTCTTAGTACTGAACTCCGAGAAGAACTGTTGGCATTCATGGCTAATTTATTACGGACTAGGAAAGTGTTTACACATAGCGAAATGAAACGACTGTTTGCACTAAAACTTCAGATGTGTCCACCAGGGCATGTGTTGGGGTCGGGGGTGTCGGAGAAGTTGTTGGAGGATGTTGTTGTCGAGGCTGGAGGGATGTTAGTAGACAACCAGGTGAGTACAGACCCACACTCTTTACCTTGTCGGAAGACATATTTCATGTCCAGACGGTAGCTTTCGTGAAGTTAATTTCAGAGTAATGTGAGGATCGTGTTCTTTCGCTGAAGATTTGTGTTTCTGTTTTAGTGGCCTCCCAACACCAAGCCCGAGCCGATCTATGCACTTGTCAAAGTGGGAGATGAAACTGATGAGGTAAAGATGATCATTGACGCTATGGAACACCTCCATTGTATGCTGGGGATAAGGAGCCAGGGCGCTCAAACACTGGTCCTCGTTGAACAGCTTTGTTTGATTTTAGGCGGGGTAGCTTGGTAGTGAAAGCAAAAACCCAGGTTCAGTTCTTCCCTCAGGGATTCAGTGTGTTAAGTCATTATGTTGAGAGAATATTGCTAAAATCCCACCCGCCCTTACTGCGAGTCCTTGTAAACAAATAGTTCCCACAGTATCCCAAGTGCAGCATAATACTTCTTACTTCAAGTTTGTAACCAGGGTCTTCTTGTGCCAAATTCAAATATGAATGGTTAATGGTATATGTGTATAGAACCATTGGGTACTGCTGGTATGGATGCCATGTTCTGATCACAGGTCGTGTGTTCTTGCAGGTCCAGAAGGTCCTGTTTGACATGTTCTCATCACGTGTGTTCTTGCAGGTCCGGAAGGTCCTGTTTGACATGTTCTCATCACGTGTGTTCTTGCAGGTCCAGAAGGTCCTGTTTGACATGTTCTCATCACACATATTCTTGCAGGTCCGGAAGGTCCTGTTTGACATGTTCCGGGGAAGCTGCCGAGTGAAGACCAGTGCTTTCAAGAAAAAGATATTGGAATTCACAGGAAGTGAACAGTCTGACAACAACTGTAGAACACTGCTCAGGGTAAGCTGGTATATGAAGTACTGTTAATTCTGAGGGTAATTAGCTGGTATATGAAACACTGCTCAGGGTAAGCTGATATATGAAACGCTGCTCAGGGTAAGCTTGTGTATGAAGTACTGTTAATTCTGAGGGTAATTAGCTGATATATGAAACGCTGCTCAGGGTAAGCTGATATATGAAACGCTGCTCAGGGTAAGCTGATATATGAAAGACTGCTCAGGGTAAGCTTGTGTATGAAGTACTGTTAATTCTGAGGGTAATTAGCTGATATATGAAACGCTGCTCAGGGTAAGCTGATATATGAAACGCTGCTCAGGGTAAGCTGATATATGAAACGCTGCTCAGGGTAAGCTGATATATGAAACGCTGCTCAGGGTAAGCTGATATATGAAAGACTGCTCAGGGTAAGCTGATATATGAAAGACTGCTCAGGGTAAGCTTGTGTATGAAGTACTGTTAATTCTGAGGGTAATTAGCTGATATATGAAACGCTGCTCAGGGTAAGCTGATATATGAAACGCTGCTCAGGGTAAGCTGATATATGAAACGCTGCTCAGGGTAAGCTGATATATGAAAGACTGCTCAGGGTAAGCTGATATATGAAAGACTGCTCAGGGTAAGCTTGTGTATGAAGTACTACTGTTAATTCTGAGGGTAATTAGCTGATATATGAAACGCCTGCTCAGGGTAAGCTGATATATGAAACGCTGCTCAGGGTAAGCTTGTGTATGAAGTACTGTTAATTCTGAGGGTAAGCTTGTTAGCTGATATATGAAACGCTGCTCAGGGTAAGCTGATATATGAAGCGCTGCTCAGGCTGTAAGCTGCTCAGGTAAGTGTATGAAGCGCTGCTCAGGGTAAGCTGATATATGAAGCGCTGCTCAGGGTAAGCTGATATATGCTCAGGGTAAGCGCTGCTCAGGGTAAGCTGATATATGAAACGCTGCTCAGGGTAAGCTCAGGGTAAGCTTGTGTATGAAACGCTGCTCAGGGTAAGCTGGTATATGAAACGCTGCTCAGGGTAAGCTGATATATGAAACGCTGCTCAGGGTAAGCTGTATATGAAACGCTGCTCAGGGTAAGCTGGTATATGAAACGCTGCTCAGGGTAAGCTGATATATGAAACGCTGCTCAGGGTAAGCTGATATATGAAACGCTGCTCAGGGTAAGCTGATATATGAAAGCTGCTCAGGGTAAGCTGATATATGAAGCGCTGCTCAGGGTAAGCTTGTGTATATGAAAGCTGCTCAGGGTAAGCTGATATATGAAGCGCTGCTCAGCTCAGGGTAAGCTGATATATGGGAAAGCTGCTCAGGGTAAGCTGATATATGAAACGCGGCTGCTCAGGGTAAGCTTGTGGGTATGTATATGAAGCGCTGCTCAGGGTAAGCTGATATATGAAACGCGGCTGCTCAGGGTAAGCTGCTATATGAAGCTGTAAGCTGATATATGAAAGCTGCTCAGGGTAAGCTGATATATGAAGCGCTGCTCAGGGTAAGCTGGTATATGAAGCGCTGCTCAGGGTAAGCTGATATATGAAACGCTGCTCAGGGTAAGCTGATATATGAAACGCTGCTCAGGGTAAGCTGGTATATGAAACGCTGCTCAGGGTAAGCTTGTGTATGAAACGCTGCTCAGGGTAAGCTGATATATGAAGCGCTGCTCAGGGTAAGCTTGTATGAAGTACTGTTAATTCTGAGGGTAATTAGCTGATATATGAAGCGCTGCTCAGGGTAAGCTGATATATGGCGCTGCTCAGGGTAAGCTGATATATGAAGCGCTGCTCAGGGTAAGCTGGTATATGAAGTACTGTTAATTCTGAGGGTAATTAGCTGGTATGTGAAACGCTGCTCAGGGTAAGCTGATATATGAAACGCTGCTCAGGGTAAGCTGATATATGAAAGACTGCTCAGGGTAAGCTGGTATATGAAGTACTGTTAATTCTGAGGGTAATTAGCTGATATATGAAACGCTGCTCAGGGTAAGCTGATATATGAAACGCTGCTCAGGGTAAGCTGGTATATGAAGTACTGTTAATTCTGAGGGTAATTAGCTGGTATATGAAACGCTGCTCAGGGTAAGCTAATATATGAAACGCTGCTCAGGGTAAGCTGATATATGAAACGCTGCTCAGGGTAAGCTGGTATATGAAGTACTGTTAATTCTGAGGGTAATTAGCTGGTATATGAACTTGTTGATCAGGATATGAAAACTTGTCTGAGTCAGCTGGGACAACATGGTAGTTTGACATAAAGCACTGTCCAGATAACATGAACACACAGCTAATGGTAGGAAGGGAGTTGAGGCAGTGTTTGGGGTACGCAAAGAGATGTCGTGACACTTTTTGCATAGTTCAGTTTTTAGTTTAAATGCCATGTAGTTTGTTGTGAATGTCCAGTCCCTGTCATGATGAAGTGTATGACAGTGTTTACATGCTGGTTTCAGGAGTACTGTGAGACCCGCGGAGCCCTGTGGTACCTGAAGGGAGCGTGTCCTGACTCATGATACAGGGCAGCTCCTCTGCTGGGAGCATTGTCAGCTAATCCTGTGATGTCAGCATAAACATTCCTGCAGCCAACTGTGGAGCCACCTGCCACCATCTTCAGAGTGGAGCCAACATCTAGCCACATGCCGCCATCTTCAGAGTGGAGCTAACATCTAGCCACATGCCGCCATCTTCAGAGTGGAGCTAACATCTAGCCACTTGCCACCATCTTCAAAGTGGAGCCAACATCTAGCCAACATCTTCAAAAAGCAGGCTACATCTTTTTCAGTGTTGAGCCATCAAGGAGCTACTTGTCACAATCATCAACATGTGGAGTGACCATTCTCAACATCTGTCAACATGTGGTGCCACCTACCTGATTTGTAGAAGACTTCATTGTTAAGATACTTACTGAGAATTTATTGGCCCTCTAGGCATTCAACTGATTTGCTAGCAGAAGGGACAAACTCTCATACTGAAATTTGCTGTTCATTTTGGGTATATGAACATCCGCAACCCAAGGATGTCTTGTCACCCACACACAAGAGTTGGTACTGGTGGAAGTCAATATTGAAGGGACTGTGTTTTGAATGAAATGTGCTGGTCAGTCTATGAACCAGTTGGACAGTTTGTATCTTGAATCTTCGTTAAGAAGCCTGAAGTCAACGTTTTGGTTCCATTATGGCCATAGAATTGTGCTTGTATTGCTTTTTGGAAGCAGGTACAGTGTGAGTTGTCTGATGTTGGTTGAGACGAATACTGTCAGTACAGTTTGTGATTAATTTAAGGAATTTGAGATACTCTGGTTGTGGACAGGAAACCAGTGATTCACTATCTACTTTTATGCCAGGAGCCTGGTTCTCAGTATACACATCTCAGTTATCTGAGTGGCGTTACCTTACAATCAGCCCAGATGTCTTGAGGTGCTGCGGTTTACTGGACAGACTGACCGAGGTGTGTCAAAACCTGTAATAATAAGTTCAACATCCTGATGGACCCAGAACATGTTCCTTGTCACCAGCATACTCCTGCTTTCACCATAGAACTAAACACGGAAGTCTGATGGAGCTGTTCTCCCATCAGCACTCTTTACCAGCTGACAAGGGTGGTTCATACATTTGCTTGCAGATCTGAAGTCATGGGTTCACTTCCCATTATGGGTGAATCGTGCAAAGCCTGTTTCTACTGTCCCCTTCAGTGACATAGCTGAAACATTGCTGAAGGGGTGTAAAATCCCACTCACTGTCAACGTTGTCTTACAGTGTGTTTGTGGTTACATCCACCTTTACAGTCCCCTTACCTGACCATTATGTGCATGTAATCTCACTGGAACAATGTCTAATCAAGTCACTCTTACTCACTGATGTTGTAAGACATGATGGTTCTTCATTCAACTTGGCTCGTCACGCCGAAGACCCGGGTTCGAATCCCCACATGGGTACAATGTGTGAAGCCCATTTCTGGTGTCCCCCGCCGTGATGTTGCTGGAATATTGCTAAAAGCGGCGTAAAACCAAACTCAGTCAGTCAGTCAGTCTTCATTCAACACGACGTACATATAGAACTAGAATCAATGAACAATACATTCAGAACCCCTGTCACAGCTTGTGTACCTTGAGAACAAAAGATCCACATAAGGGACCATTCATAATTGGGGGTGTTTGTGTGTTTTGATGATTTTTATGGAGAAGCATGTACAATGTGAATGACAACCCCACCCCACCCCACCCCCACCCCACCTAAAGTTTATGTACAAAATAAGTGACCAACCCTGCATGTCATGTACAAAATCAATGCCCCCCTCCACTTCCCATAATTTCTAAGCATAATTTGAAACATATCATTATGTACAAACTTGCTGAAACACCACCGCCACCACCCCAGCTCCCAGAACAAAATGTGTGTCTCTTACCCCCCCTCCCCGTAAAAATATCATCATCTCTACTCTTCTCTGTAGACCTGCCTGCATCCTTGTCACATGCTTATGAATGCCAAAATCTTGAACATTGCATCAAACCTCTCTCTCTTTCTTCCTCCCCCCTCCCCCCCATAAATTATGAACGGTCTCTAACTTACTTGTCACAAGACTGCTTTCTTGTGGCCTATTTTTGGATTTGTGAAGTGACTGCCATCATACTTTCTCCATGGGGCATGTCACATTATGCGTAATGAGGTCATAATAACTGTAAAGGATGGACCACAACCTCTATGTGTTTGTACTTAACCATGACTGGCCAGTCAGATAGTGTAGAGTAATGTTTATTGGGGAGATGTGATTGTTCCTGTTGGCTGCATGGGATGCGGCAAGCAACCTTTCTGTACAGATATTTTGTACTCCCTTTGTACTCAATAAAGTAAAACATTGAAAGTACCACTGTCACTTGTTGTCCACCGCCGCAACTGTTGTACCCAATGTCTTCAAATTTGGTGACAGCCTACATTGGGGGATTACGCAGACACCAGTCAATTTGGGTCACCTTGACCTTATTTTCAAGGTCACTACGACACTTTGACCACTTTTCAAACTCTTCTTAACGAGATATCTCATGAACTGTTGTACCCAATGTCTTCAAATTTGGTAACAGCCTACATTAGTTGATTACCCAGACACCGGTCGATTTTGGGTAACCTTGACCTTATCTTCAAGGTTAACCACTTTTCTAACTCTTGCACATTAGGGGATACGCAGACACCGGTCGATTTTGGGTAACCTTGACCTTATCTTCAAGGTTACCATGACACTTTGAACACCTTTTAAACTCTTGTTAACACGACATCTCATGGACTGTTGTACCCAATGTCTTCGAATTTGGTGACAGCCTACATTGGGAGATTACGCAGACACAGTTTATTTGGGTGACCTTGACCTTATCTTCAAGGTTACCATGACACTTTGAACACCTTTTAAACTCTTGATAACGCGACATCTCATTTACTGTTGTACCCAATGTCTTCAAATTTGGTGACAGCCTACTTTGGGGGATTACGCAGACACCAGTTGATTTGGGTGACCTGACCTTATCTTCAATGTCACCACGACACTTTGCACACTTTTAACTCTTGTTAGTGCGATATCTCATTTACTGTTGTACTCAATGTCTTCAAATTTGGTGACTGCCTACATTAGGGGATTACGCAGACACCAGTTTATTTTGGTGACCTTGACCTTATCTTCAAGGTCCCCTAGACACTTTGACCACTTTTCAAACTTATTTAAATGGGATATCTCATAAAACATTCCACCCAATTCTTGTTCTTATTTGCATTTCCAAATACTTCCCTGTCAGAGGATCATTGGTAAGAACTGGTCCCTGTACTTCATGTTTGTCTCGCATTGTGGATTTCTATGAAAATAGGTCCCTGTACCTCATGCATGTCTCCTTGTATTGATCCCTGCCCAAATAGGTCCCCTGTACCTCATCGTCGCCTGAAAACTAGAGTACTAAGTCACAAAAACCTATTTTCTAGAAATTCGATCTTGAAGTTTAGGACAACAATATCTTCTAAACTTTTCAATCGAATTCTTTCAAATTTTGCACATGCATGTGACATGTTAAACAGTATTAGAAAATATCAAATTATATGCTCAATCTATTGAAATAAATAAGAAACTCACGAAAAATGATTGGAGATAGAACACTTGACCAAAGAAAATCGTGATTTTTCTCAAAACCAAAGTGTTCTAATAGGTCGTGTAAAAACACAGCTAAAACTCAGCTTTAATATTATTATATCGATATTTGATTGTTATTTCTTTATTACCAGGGTGAATTTTTTCCGTTTAAACTTGTTTTACTTTCATAAGGACTATGTTTAATTAAATAAAGCAGAAATAAGAACAGAGTTAAATGTTCCATTTCCATGATGACAATCACTTCAAAATTGGTAAAAATCTCAATGTCACGTGATCAAATTGTGCTTGCTCATTGGTGAATTGACAACTTGGAACACTCGAAAAATTAACAACATGTGATTTTTCATGGAGATAGAACAAAGTTTGTGTTTGAAAAACCACTTTCAAAGCTAGATAGCACTGTAAAAGTTGCTAGAGTAATAGATTATGCTCTAAAACCCACCCCCGAGCATACTAACTCTAATTTTGTCAAAAGTGGACTTAGAACACTCTGGTTTTCAGGCGACGTCTCCATGCTTGTCTCCTTGTATCAATCCCTGTCCAAATAGGACCCTGTACCTCATGCTTGTCTCCTTGTATTGATCCCTGCCCAAATGGGTCCTGTACCTCATGCTTGTCTCCTTGTATTGATCCCTGTCCAAATAGGTCCCTGTACCTCATTGTTTGTCTCCTTGTATTGATCCCTGCCCAAATAGGTCCCCTGTACCTCATGCTTGTCTCCTTGTATGGATCCCTGTCCAAATAGGTCCCCTGTACCTCAAGCTTGTCTCCTTGTATCGATCCCTGCCCAAATAGGTCCCTGTACCTCATGTTTGTCTCCTTGTATTGATCCCTGCCCAAATAGGTCCCCTGTAAAACCTCATGTTTGTCTCCTTGTATTGATCCCCTGCCCAAATAGGTCCCTGTACCTCATGCTTGTCTCCTTGTATTGATCCCTGCCCAAATAGGTCCCTGTACCTCATGCTTGTCTCCTTGTATTGATCCCTGTCCAAATGGGTCCCTGTACCTCATGCTTGTCTCCTTGTATTGATCCCTGCCCAAATAGGTCCCCTGTTTGTCCTCATGCTTGTCTCCTTGTATTGATCCCTGTCCAAATAGGTCCCTGTACCTCATGCTTGTCTCCTTGTATTGATCCCTGCCCAAATGGGTCCCCTGTACCTCATGCTTGTCTCCTTGTATTGATCCCTGTCCAAATGGGTCCTGTACCTCATGCTTGTCTCCTGTATATTGATCCCTTGTCCTCCTTGTATCATGCTTGTCTCCTTGTATTGATCCCTGTCCAAATAGGTAGTCCCTGTACCTCATGGTTGTCTCCTCCTTGTATTGATCCCTGTCCAAATAGGGGACCCTGTAACCTCATGCTTGTCTCCTTGTATTGATCCCTGTCCAAATAGGACCCTGTACCTCATGCTTGTCTCCTTTGTATGATCCCTGTCCAAATAGGATCCCTGTCCAAATGTCTCCTTGTGATCCCTGTCAAATGGGACCCTGTCCTCATGCTTGTCTCCTTGCATTGATCCCTGCCCAAATAGGTCCTGTACCTCATGCTTGTCTCCTTGTATCGATCCCTGTCCAAATAGGTCCCCTGTACCTCATGCTTGTCTCCTTGTATTGATCCCTGCCCAAATAGGTCCCTGTACCTCATGGTTGTCTCCTTGTATTGATCCCTGCCCAAATAGGTCCCCTGTACCTCATGCTTGTCTCCTTGTATTGATCCCTGTCCAAATAGGACCCTGTACCTCATGCTTGACTCCTTGTGTGTTGTAGATCCCGTCAGAATAGAATTGTAAGTGATTATGATCTGCTGGATGCGGTTTATAAAGGTCAGCTGCAGTGCGAGCTTCATCCAGTTGCACCCGTGTTTGTCTGGCCATCTCTAAACGTTCACCTCCTGACCGGTAATACATCACCATAGCAACGCTTGTAATGGGCAACATGTGCCCTTATGAAGTAGGTTGTTCACCGATTGTTCTGCTGAAACAAAGGGAAACCTGTTGTGAGTTTTGTGTGTGCTCCCAATGTTGGAGAGAGAGAGAGTGTGTGTAGCGAGGTCTCCGAGAGAGACTGAGAGAGCGTGTAGCGAGGTCTCCTAGAGAGACACAGAGAGTGTGTGTAGCGAGGTCTCCGAGAGAGACAGAGAGAGTGTGTAGCGAGGTCTCCTAGAGAGACACAGAGAGAGTGTGTCGCGAGGTCTCCAAGAGAGACACAGAGAGAGTGTGTAGCGAGGTCTCCTAGAGAGACACAGAGAATGTGTAGCGAGGTCTCCTAGAGAGACACAGAGAGAGTGTGTAGCGAGGTCTCCAAGAGAGACACACAGTGCGTGTAGCGAGGTCTCCGAGAGAGACACAGAGTGCGTGTAGCGAGGTCTCTTCGATGACACGCAATCCACCATTCAGTGTTGTGGTTTCTTGCGACAAGCTCGGGTGACCGGAATCTATTCTAACGCAGAATCTAACAGAAATGGCAGTATTGAGTCATATCAGGATCGTAAAGCTGTACATAAACAGGAAGCTTGGTGTACTCCACTTGATGTACATTTCTACGAAACTACACTTCAGGAAAAGAGCAACAGATGTCACAGATCACGGATGCGAATAATACTTTGACGAAAACAGCAGGCAAGTCATCTCGCTGTAAAGTTGTTGTCTTCCCCAAACAAGATTCACTCGTTTAGTGTTTTAGATAGAGTTTGGGGCACGTGTTGTTTGAAAGTCCTACATTTCGCTGTGCAGAGTTCCGTCCCTTGGACACGCCTGGCGCCAAAGACTGTGGGTTCAGATTCGGGCGTACTATGTGTCTGTTTGTCATCCCCACCCCCCCAGTCTTCCCTGGCATCAAACTGACATGCCTATTTACATGTGGTATAATGTAAACGTGGCGTGAAGCCCAACTGACTCGCGTCCGCCCGGAGAGCGGAAGGTCGCGGGTTCGATCCCCGACCGCGTCAAACCAAAAAGACGTTAAAATATGGTACTTGTTGGTCCCTGCCTGGCGCTCGGCATTAATGGGTACAACAAGTACTGGTCGGCTCGGAGTCAGTATAATGTGTCTGAGTTGGTATTCATGCTTCACTGCG